CCATCCCGACATAACTTTAAACTGGGAAAAAAAAATCCTCCAACACTGGACACAAAGCTTGACGAAGCTACGTCCTAATTCAGAGCAAGCAGTGGCGCAGTCACACGAGTAATAATAGGACAGCAATCCCCTTGAATGCCCCCCCAAAAAAGTGGCTGCCTGGTTATTGATTCTTTTCCCCTCCACATTTTGTGCCAGATTAATAAGTAACATATGTTACTGAAATACTCATAGTATAATCACGTATACTGTGACTTTGCATAACTGTAAAATGTTAAAGTTGTAATAATATCATATTGTGGGGCGATTCCCACCTCTAATTAATTTGGTTTCTAAAATTATCACCAAATACAGCCAAGTAGCCGACCTGTGCCAGATCAAATGTTATTCTGCTGTACCACAGTCAGCTATCTTTTACAAAATTTAAGCACATTTGCAAAAACAACTTTATCTGTTTTTGTTTATTCAAGTTATTTTTGATTGTTATTCACAGCATGCTATATTTAGGCATCCTAAAGCATCAATGCTCATGCTTCAATTAACGGTAGATCATTTAACTATTTTACCACGCCAGCGGCAATATGATAATCAAGATGCAAATTCAAATTTAATGAGTCAGAAAAGAGGAACTCCTCCATATTTGTATTCACATGGTATACTTCACTGCATGACTTCAAAAGTTACTCAACTTCTTTACTGAGTACTTTTTACAAACTGTAAAAATTACAGTTTAAATACATTTACAGTATGGTCTTTATCTCCATTATCACTGTGGTGTAATAACAACAATTATCAAAACAAAGCGGTAGATTTACATATCTGAAAAAGTATAGTCAAGTACTGATTTGCATATTCTGTACTGTCTGTACAAGAGCATTTGTGAGTGCCCTGAAGGTCTGAACAACATTGCCAAGTGTCCTACATTGGCTGGGACACTCAGAGAACACTTCCTGATCCTCTCTAATGCAAACTGCAAGACAAAGCTTGTTCGGGTTTCTTCAAAAACATTCCAGCACAGTTGAACAATATTTAGCATAGCACATTGTAAAAGTAGATAAATATATTCTGGGGAAATCCATGTCATGGATAAAATCCATCTTAGACTCATGCCAGGAAGAAAACATGGAATTACTTTTCCCAAACACTCAGACAAAACTCACCCTCTCTGGAACAGGTCCACATTGTAAAACTTGTGGAGCTCCACAGAGAACTCCACTGTGGCCTGGACTTCAGTCATCTTGGTCTCTACAGGCAGAGGTGCCTTACATCATCTGGGATACACCTGTAGGCCTGCAGGCAAAAGTAATCAAATTAGTCATTTCAGTTCCAGCAATCAGGTTATTGCAAAACCTTTACACTTGAAAATGCAGTATTTAAACTGAGTTAAACTGAATGAGAACTTCTAAAAAGCTGTAAAACGACTCACCTAGGTTTACAAAAAGAAACCCAAGTCAAATCAGTTAAAAGAAAACATCACCAGCAGTCACAAGAGTGAGTTTAAGAATATATAACAGTTGGGTTCATTTTTAGAGAAGTTATTAGGGCATAAGGTCTAAATTTGGCACACGAGGCATGCCGTCCTCTGGGCCTAATTAGTTAACAGCCCATAACAATTATAGAATTGATATGACAGGATAAGAGAAAATACTATTAATAACATTGCACAAAATAGCCCTGAAATACAATATTACCAAATGGTAGTGTTAGAAATACACACAGACCTACTTTAGACCTTATGTAAGACAAGGGTGTATAGTATTTCTGGCCGTAGCCGAGACAAAATAAAGCTGGCAAAAACAATCATGCAGACGCTTGCTAAATTAGTCATATATTAAATTAATAAATCATCCACTGGGAGATATAATAGCTGTTCATGCCAGTGAAAAGAAATGAGCTACAAAAGACCACCATGAACTTGATCGGGTTAACACAGATGCCTGACAAGATCCAAGGTTAATATCCCTTTCTGAATTCTGTTGCTTTAAAAACACAAAACAACAACAAAAAAAAAACCCTCCTGCAAATTAACTGGGCACAACACAGAGGACATACAAGGACACCGTCGGGTAAATTTGCCTTTGTGGTCATGTTTGTTTTGGGTATCAATTCCCTTTGCAAGCCTAGCATAAATACTTTATGGTCATACTGAGTTTGCAAGTCAACTGATTAACTAGTTTGTATGAATCGAGCAGCCAAATGCAATTCATACCAGACTAAATTAGATCAAATCAGTGACTGCAGCTTTTGTTAAGCTTTTGGTAACTAAGCTGCAAGACCTATAATAATGTGATGGAAAACTTGACATCGTTACCCTGTCAAACAGTTCCCCGCTGTGTAAATGTTTCAGTACACTTTGATAACATTATGGATTTATGATGCACTGAAAGTTTGGTATTGAGATTGTAGCAGCAACTGGTCTATCAGGTTTAGTCTTTAGACAAAAGCCCATCTCCGACAAGGTATGTAAGCAAAAGTTATATACGTGGAGAATACAAAAGATTAAGTAAGGCGTTGACCGAAATCCTGAAGCATTGCTGTCAATACACCAAACAACCTGCCAGTGCGAGCTGTATCCACTGAAACGTTTGTTCAAACGTAACAATAACACAAAACTGTCACAAAAAACACACCACCAAAACAAAATTACATATTTCCCCGACCAACAACCCGGCGATTGGTGATAAGACGATGTCTCCGGCACTTAAGAAAATGTAAGACACCTCAGGGAAAGTAAAATCTAAACATCTAGTTCTGTTAAAATATACATGACAAGGCCTTAAGACGTCGGTCGGCTCGATGGTTTCTTCTAGAGCCAACAGCTAAAACCCCAAACCAATACAGACAAGGAAATAAACAGCTGTTTAAGTTGTAACTTAGCTTTAGGATTTAGATGCTATAACTAGAAGGAGTGAGGCAGCAAAGGTCTCTAGCTGAAGGGTAGAATCTTTGCAAGGATTTCATTTCGGTTACAGGTGGGAAGCTAACAAAACATATTTCCCCCCAAAAGGATCAGAAAATGTTAGGAAAAAAATCGGCAAAGACAATACACTTTAACAGACCACCCCCCTGAAAACAGTCTCCCTTGACAGTGCCTTAGCTAACGGTAACACTTAGCAGGGCTAGCCACCCACTGAACAGTTGCCACCGGGTAACATTAGCTGCGCAGTCAAGCTAACGCTACTCACCATTTCGCTGGGAAGCTAACATTAGCCGGCTAACCAACGTTAGCTCAAATTTCAGTCCTCTCGCCGTCCTCTCACAGTGAAGTGCGGACTGAAAACAATGCCCCGCTGACTGGTTCTCCTCCCGGCCCGGTCAGCTTCATAGAAAAATTGGCGTTAGAATGTTACACAGCGTCACTCGTCCATGTAGTTATGTCTGTGAGCAGTGTTTGCTAAGCAGGGAGCTAACTGTGCTCAATCTGAAGAGCTGACAGCAGACGCTGCTCTAGCTGTACGCCTCTCAACTGCGCGTAGCTGCACATACCGGAGACGCAGCTGACATGCAAAACTACTACCGTTAAATGGAACATCGCAAAGTTCAACAAGCACACAATAATAATAATTAAAATAAGAAGAAAAAAAAGGGTTTTTTTTCTCCAAAGACGTATGTTTATTTATGTTGTAAAACTTTTGCATAACACTGTCACTTTTTTAAGGCATAATCCAGCCTGTTCATTGTTCTTGTGACATCCAATTCACTTACTCAGTTTAATTTACTTTCATTTAATTCATTTTATTTTTGATAGCCAATGTCACAAATAGAGGTGCAGACATAAAAGCATTTTAGGAAATGTGGTCAGTTACATGTACAAAAATAAATTTAAACAAACCATCCGAAATACATACATACATAAACAACCCCACACACAGACTTAAATATAATACAGAGGTAAAGGAAATAATTCATATATAAAATCCCTTGAAACACCAAATGCCAGTGTGATTAAAAAGATATGCGTCTGTGTCTGCAAGAATACCAAACATGGTTGGACTCTGTAGGTACAGGTGGTATTATTAAGTGGAAGCACTAGTTCGATGTCGAAGAAGATTTTTTGCTCCTTAGATTCAATAAAAAGTCCAGATAAGGTTGAGTCTAAAGGTCTCTGACATGATTTATGTATGCATTTGTTTAATTTATTTATCTCTTCTTCTCAGTAAGCATGGACTCTGAGAAGCAGAAACTGAGAAGAAGAAACTCGGACTCTTACCTTCCAAAAAGATCACATCACTGCTCTGGTCTGATCACCAAGCCCAGATCTAATCTAACTCATCAGTGTAGAGTTCACTTAATATATATCACTTCAAGAAGTTTTTTTTAAAATGACACAACAGAAGGAGGAAATGTGGGGGAGACGCACAAATTCACAATCAACAGTTTCATTTCTTATTCATAATCACTGGTAATCTTGAAAAAAAAAAAGGGTCCAGTTTCTTAGAAATCCACACAAGACATTTCTTAGGCTCTGGGTGTTATGACTACTGTGAAAAATGCAAGTCCTGCACTTTATTGCCTTCTTCTAAGAACAAACACAGCTTGAATACTTCCCTGGTCAGAGTCTCTTGATTTTCACTTTGGACTGTACTGGAAACAATGTCGTCTGAATACCATGCAGCCACAGAGATCACAAAGAATGCAGTCCCAAAAGTTCAGGGGAAATTATGTCACCACAGGGTAACATGATCTTTTTCATAGTCAACTACATTTTATTTAGCATACACAATGACGCTCATAGAATTACAAATGGGTTACAATACAGAGGTTATATATGCCTGAAGTAACATTAAAGGCCTAAAATAAAATCCAAGGTGGGTGCAAGAGAATGGTGAAGTTGACACTGCAGAGACTGTTGACTCACTCCTGCAAATAAATAACAAAAGCCAAGCTTATAAGAGACCTCTCACTGAGACCCGAAGCTATTTACTTCTGCTGACCGAGCAACACTTCAGCGTTTTTTGGGGGTTTTTTGCTCACTACTGGAAGAAAATCAGAAAATAAATCCTGCAGCAGGTAATTTTTTTAAATGGGTGGAATCGAAAGGTAAACTTTTTACTTAATTACAACAGCAAGAATAATACGAGTTGTGTCTGGCTGTGCTGTCAGAAACCTGAACCAAGGATTTCTTCTGATTAACTTCCAGAAATATCCTGCTCTATTCATTGTGCTGCTGCTATGTGATCCCACTGTGCCTCTGCACTGGACTTCATTCCCAGAGTAAGTAATCTTCTGAGCTGTATGGTGCAATTGCTGACAAATCAATGACACATGAAGCTGGCATTTCATTAAAAAAAAAAAACAGGAACAAAGTAACAAGATTACCAGAGCAGTGCATCCCCTCAAATATGAGTCATGTTCGGTATCTGTCAACCGCAGCATACTACACATATTAATCATTAGTTTGTGCTTGTGGCAGCTGTTCTTCTTTGCTGAAACTGTTTCTTTGAGATGCATGATCTTCTTAACATGTTAAATAATTGTCACATTTTTGTTACTCTAAACAGTGTGGTCTGAGTTTATAGTGCTCTTTTCTATAGCCAAAAGACTTGGACACCCGCATTTATTTTTATAAGTATCAGTAAATCAATAAATCGACATGTATTGACTTAGGCACTTACTTCACGACCTTCTTTCCCATTAGGTTTACACTATTTGTTTTCCTTCCTCTCTCCATATGTCTTCCCTCTTTACCGCATCCTGTTCTTATCTATATTTTATTACATATATCCAGCATATGGGTATGTGTAGAAGCACTAACATCACTTGATTAGGAGCTTTTTTTTGTGCAAGTACATATAAATGTAGATTCAAATGTTCACTGAATTCTCAAAGTATATTAAATTGCCAAATATATATATAAGTGTAACGCTACAGCATCAACCCAGAGTTATACATCTGGGGGGAGTGAGGTGTTTTATGCAATGCTGAGACTCATGTTGGCAAACAGAAAAAGGAAAGATCCTCTTCACGCTCGAGGAAAACCTTAAACTTTCTGCACAGATGTGTAAAAACAGGCAAATCTAGAACTGAAGTGTTAAAGAGAATATGGCAAACAGCCAGAGATAGTCTAATATTTATTCAAGGCACTGGTGCTGCTTTCCAAACACTGAGCTTTTATTCCCTTCTACAAAACACAAACACACACACACACACACACACACACACACACACACACACACACACACACACACACACACACACACACACACACACGCCCTTTGACTACTTTCTCTTTCCTTCTTGCAGCTGTGAGATTTTCATCTCAAGTTGGTATTCATTTGGAGCAGCAGTCCATGTGCCCTCAGATCAGCATTGGGGAGGATCATTTCCCAGGTGGACTCAAAATATAATACAGATGAAGTAATGTTATTGTGAAAAGAAAAAAGAGTGTATAATGAGAATGACCCCAACATTTTCTCTGTAAATAGACATTAAAAGAACACTTAAACAGCACATAAACAATAAGGACTATTGTATTGTAAGCCGTATAAGATGTATATTTAACCACTTATGTGTCCTTTCAGGATTTTATATCATGTCACAGTTCCACATTGCTGAGTTGGCAAGAAGGGGCACTGTGAAAAAGGTGGCTGGACCATCTTCTCAGAATGTTGCTTATCAAATAGGCCCAGCATTCAACTTCAGAATCAACACAAGGTGAGGTGCTGTGCTTTGAAATGTGTGAGTGAACACCGACACCTAGTGGTTTGTCTGGTTTAATGCCGTTTACCCTGTCCATGGTCCTGACCGTCAAAGGCGCGATTACCTGCTCCACCCCTTTCCTTTTGTGACCCATCTTTAACTTCCACACAAATCACACACAGAATAAAACCTTCGTGTTGCAAGAGATGTCAATAGGTTTCATTTTATAACAGAGTCATTAATAACAGTCTAAAAAATCAAGAAAGTTCATACATTCTGATCGATCCGCTGACTTTTAATTGAAAAAAAAAAAATCTGAGGGTTTAATAACTGTGCACCCTTTATGCTGCAGATCAGCCTATCCGCTTGGATTGCCGGAGGAGTTTGCATTTTTGACAGTGCTGCGCATGAGTGGCAGCACCGTAAATCAAAACTGGAATATCTGGCAAATGCAAGATGTGAACGGCGACGAGCAGATGGCCGTCAGGCTCAACGGGGAATCCAAGTCGTTGGAGTTTACTTTCACAGCGCTAAACGGAGGGAGGCAGACTGTCGTTTTCAGCCCACTGGGGTTTCTTTTCAATGACCAGTGGCACAGAGTGTTCCTGGAAATCAGCAGGGACTCTGTGGCCCTTTTCGTGGACTGTGTCCTGATCGATTCTCAGGATATTCCACCCAGACTAGAAGTCAGCCTTAATGGCTTCACGTTAATAGGAAAGCTCAAGGATAACCCGGTGGTAGCAGTTCCGGTATGTCTCTTTTAGGACTAAATTTAGTACTAAAGTTGATGGAATTCGCCCACTTTCAGACCCATATATAGTAGGGAACTATACTTTAGGATTTAACACCATAATTGGTCTTAGATTATTTCATTACAGATCATTTCCTTTTCTTTTTCTTTCTTTCTTTCTTTCTTTCTTTCTTTCTTTCTTGTTACTGTGGGCTATGCTTCAAGCTACACAAAATATAGTATGGATGATTGTAAGGCACATAAAAGACACACTTCCCTGATACATAATGACTTTTCATTATTTATAATAGAAAAATAGAATTCATTATTAAAGCCTAAGGACTGTTTTGATTGACCACCCACGTGACCCCAGGCCTACACTTTTTCAAATGTCTTCATTCTGATGTACAAATCTTTTGCGTTTATTCCCATAAACTTCAATATAGTGACATTACAACTTAAATATTTTTCAAGTGATTGCAGCGCCAAAGCTTTTATTATGAAAACAACCCCCAAACAGTCTTTTATTTATATGCACAGGAGTTCTTCCTTCCGGGCGCCCGTTAGCAAGGTTTTCCAACATCCTGTTTGGTAGTCTGTGGTCTCCTCATCCAAACTTTACTGATTATTATTATTGTTATTATTATTAATTGTTTATGTTATGATACGCTCCCTGTCCATAAGCATGAACTTATTCGATAGTTTTAGTTTTTTGGTTTTATTCTTTAAATATTTTTTTTGTCTTATCCTAACTGACGATATATTATTAAAGGGCCTAACCTTTGGGACACAGACTGTACTGTACTTTCACGGTATTGTGCTAATTAACAGTATTTTTTTTCCTATTTCTCTAGGTTGAACTGCAGTCAATGCTAATTCACTGCGATGTGACTCGAGCCCGGAAGGAGGAATGTTATGACCTCCCAGGCGGGGCATCGGTAAGAATGATCAGTTGTAATGAAGAGGGGGGAATGGGCCAAAACAACGTCCAGGATTTGCGCTTCACAGAACAAGTTGCTGACCACGATGATCTCTTTGTGTCTTTAATTTAATTTAATTTTTTCATTCTTATATAAAGATAAACGGTAACACTAAATGTTGAATAAAATTCATTTTGGGTCGTAGCAGAGGTTAAATAAACCGCTGATCCTGCCTATTGGTAGTGTCAGCAATGTAGCCCCTCCCTGTGGTGTTCCCCTGCAAACCCTCCAATCACTTCCTGTAACCGGTCATTGTATGAATATACATGAGCCACTGAAAGCTATGGGACCTTTGGCTGTCTAGACAGCTCTAGCCGGAGTCAGTTGGGTTATTTTACAGGGGGCTCCTTCAACCTAACAAACCCCAGAGAAAGGACTACAACTTTTACCTTTCCTGCACAGGGGAGATCATGACAGGGGCCCAGCGCATTAAAGGGCCATTTCTGGTGCTGCTCTTGCAGCTTGTCCTTATTTGCTCCTCTCAAGTAAGTCTCATTATGTTTCTCTCTCTCCCTGTTTTCTCTATTATGTCTGTAGACAGATGTGGCAGAAGTGCTGGTAAGTTCTTCTGCAAGCGTGCATGTCAAACAAAAAGTTAATTTACCTGCAATTATGCTTAGACTGGGATTTCTTTCTTCGGTTAATTTGTTTGAGCGTCAATCTGTTGTGGAAAATGCAAGATTTTCAGCTTTCATTTAAATTGGTTCTTTGTTTCAGTGTTTTGTCAGCTACTGAATAATTTAAAGCCGAAATTCTGTTTCAGTATTTCAGAGACAGTCCTGTCTATAACATGGCAGTGCACCTGTTCTTGCTCTTTTCATATTGGCTTTTGTCAGAGGGACAAAATTGTTGGGTATTTATCAGAAACGTAATCAGATATTTTCCTATTACATTACAATTAATTTCATTATACATAGAATAACCAAGGACCCCCTGGCCCCCCTGGACCTGCAGGTGTCCCAGGAATTGACGGCATTGCTGTAAGTGCTTATAGTTTTTCACCATTGTCAGTATAATCTGTCAGACACTTTAAAAATAGTTCAGTGTTTGGACCCCTGAAAGTATTAAATCTCTTTTGTTTCAGGGAGAGAGGGGAGACGATGGCGAAGACGGTCCTCCTGTAAGTATTACATATAGTAAGAGATTTAAGTAATCGTATCAATTGTGTGTCTTTTTCACTGAATATCTGTAACCTTTGTTAGGGACCCGACGGAGATGCAGGTAAACCTGGCTCTGGAGGATTACCTGGAATTCCTGGAAATGATGTGAGTGAAGTATATTTTGTACTATTAGGATCAGCATTATTTTATAAAGTTATCAAGAAACCCTGAAACCTGCAAAGGGGGTGGGACCACAAGGTGTGTTCCTCCCACATAATAGGTCATGTTTGCACGTTAGACTTTTGGAGTGAAATTTTAGATGTAGAAGGGGATCTTAGTGCATGTGTGCAAAAATTTGAGGAATTTATTTGACAGGATGAACGAGTCCCAGTTTCCTTTGCATCACGGCCTGCATGTTTTAGGTTCCTTTCAGAGTTTAACAGTGGGTTAGGAAAACACAAAAGCCCATCTTATGCTTACATTTTGGTCTTTAGGTGAATTCACTTTCACTTTAGAAGTTTAAACAGACCAAATCAGTTACTTAATTCAAAATACAAGATAAAAAAAAGTCACTGCCTATAGAAACTGCACCCAAAGTGACAAACAATAGGAGCTTTGTTTGGCAGGCCACTGTTGGTGTCTCCTGTTGAAAATTCTCAAAACAGTGTGGAATGATTTCTTTCAGTGTCGTGTTTGAAAAGAGCCGGAGGAATGTTGCAGTCCTAAAGTTTTGCCCTCTGACCTGGCGCTTATATTTTCTTGTGTGCTTGATAATTTGAAAACCCTTTTGTGGACGGAGCAGAGAAGCGTGAACTAAAATTCTGGGGTGTTAAAGTCAAGTTATTCCCACTTCCGACAGAATAGAGCAGAATTCCTCCCACACAAGTATTTTGATGGTGTAACATATGGGGATCAGCTGATCAATTTGGAAATATCGACTGGGATGGTGGGGTGAAAGGCATTTTCTTTTGACATCATAAGCAACATATTTAAATTCTGAAAGTGTCTTTTTTAAATATAAGAGCAAAACAGGCACTTGATTTGTTTTGAGATTTGCCATGATGTGTTAATTTCACTCGATGACTCTTCTCTGCAGGGTTTGACAGGCCCCATTGGAGATCCTGGGCCTGACGGTCCCCCCGGACAGAAAGTGAGTGACTAATGAGCCTTTGCTTTCCTGCTTCAGAGACTGTCAGTGAAATGGTGCCAAGCTGCTGTCCAGTCTTTTGGCATGGCAGAAAGAGCCGCAGTGCATAAACCAATTCCTCATGACAAATGAGACTTAATCCTGCAAGTCTTCTGTGTAATCCCCATGAGGCACGAAGCCCCAACATCTTTCCTCATTAGGCTAAACATTGCCCAGCTCAGTCATGTGATGAACTGAAGGAATGTTAATTTGAACTGCTTGCAGGCTCAAATAGCTCAGTTTTACCTGAAAATGGAATTTCATACCTAATCCTGAAGTTTATGTTTGTTTTTTAGGGGGAACCTGGGAAACCTGGACCTCGTGGAGCAGCTGTAAGTAACATTTCCTCTTGAACCCCACCAGTCACAGGAAATAGCCAATCGAGGCCACCTGGAAGTCATATGATATAGAAGCTGTCTAAATTTTAGTGTTTAAGTCATTGCTATGTTCACCAAACCCTGTACATCACTCATATTGAATCATATTGTATGTCTCCTCAGGGTGTTGGGCCAGATGGACCCCTTGTAAGTAATTTGTTTACACAACAAATACAAGTTCCTGTAATTCTAAAAGTTTAAATTATTTTGTATTCAACATGTGTCAATAATACTGAATGGTCTGAAATGTGAGCAGGGGCCTCCGGGACCTGGAGGACTTCCGGGTGAATTAGGAAAAGCTGGACCACCTGTGAGTAGAGGCAGAGAAAAAGGACCATTGTCGTTCTTTTTTTATTGAGACAGTGAGGAGGATACAAGAGGATACAAGTATCTTTCATGATTACAAACTGATAATATAAAAGAAGAAGAAACTACTGTTACAGCCATTTCCTTATTCACAAGAAATAGCCACAGCAGGTAGCTCCATATGTTTGATCTGGCAGCCCTTACTGATACATCCTCAAAAGGATTTTTGCATCCTTCCAGGATCTCACCAGGGCTCTTTAGCTTATTAGGCAAATGCGTAAACCACCAAAAATACATAAACATATAAAAGTTGCATTGTGCATCTCTACACCCTGTAGGTATGATGTGTTAATACCCCTATAAAGCGACAAAATATATATGTGCACATGCAGAATGCATTCACACTCACACACTGTTACCAACCTGAAAGTATCATCTAATCAATTCAGTTTTCTTTTTATTACAAATAATTATTTTGTCTAAAAAGAAAGTCAACCCCCAAAAATGTAAATCATATTTTTCAATCAAAGACGGACTTTTGGCTTTTTAAAATAAATCATAATATACATTTCTAATCACAGTAAATATATTTTGTCCTATGAAACATGAAACAGTACATTAAATATCCAAAAGAAAAAAATCCACATTCCTGTGACCCAGCTGTGCTACAGTTTATTTTCTATATACCGATATAATTGACACAATCAGAGTCAAAATCTAGTGATTTAAAAATCCCTGTTAATAGTTTGGTTGTGTTCTGTAGATAATAATCCACATCTTTTATTCTGAAAATCAAATTGTAAGCTGGTAATGTTGGTTTGCAACATTACCAGCAAGAAATGCCTTGCTGTACTTTTATCCTCTTGCATGTTAGCAATTATACACCATGTGCACATCTTCCCTGTGTAGACTTGATGTGTTTACACCTCTTATCACAGGGGGCTATGGGTGTGAGAGGGCCACAGGGACCTCGTGGACCAGCAGGGCCCAGAGTAAGTGATTAAAGGTTCATTTGGGATTTGATGAAATTTCCAAACTTTCTAGATGTACATGTTAAAGCCATTAGGTTTAATTGGTTAGTTGCCATCAATAAACACTGTTGTCTTTCTTTTAGCGTATTTACAAGCTCCTCTAATCACTGATGATGTTGAGTTATGAAAATGTTAACTGCAGTTTTCACTCCATTTCAGGGTGCTTCTGGAGTGCTTGGCAGCACTGATCTGGTAAAATTACTTTGCCTATTTCTTGTTTTGTTTTTACACTAGATTTTAGGAATACTTTCTGACTTTTATTGTGTTGCTTAGTGTCCCAACTCCTGTCCACCTGGGACCTTGGGACATCCTGGTCTTCCTGGCATGAAGGTGAGTAGAAGTCACTTTTGTTTGCTCTGAAATCACATTAGTATCCCAAAATAGTGTTGTTGTTTTAATAGCCTTGGCCTGCCTTGTTTCTAGGGCCACAAAGGTGCAAAGGGTGAAGCAGGAGAACCTGGGAAACAAGGACACAAGGTAAAATATGTTAATGCTTGCAAACTGAAATCTACTCCACGACTATGCCTAGCCATATGAACTGATATAAACACTCGGCACATAAACAAAGTGAATTTATACTCCTATAACTGTGTAAATAATCACTAAAAACCCCGAATTTTCCCCCGCAACTGTCACAACGTTGCACATCGGGGAAAAAAATGCGCGTGACTTAAACTTTAAAAAATTGATTCCCGACACCACTGAGACAAGGATTATTTGTGCTGCTCAATTTCAAGAGGAAGTGATACAAGCTTGTGTGTAATTTCTCTGACTCCTTGTCATGCACGGGCGATGATTTATTCGAAATGACATTCAAGCAGATCTAGCTTCTCCCTGTAATGTGTCCACGCACTATATAAATGGAAATGAGTCTGGGGCTATCTCCCTTTATCACCCCCATGCCAGGATATGATTTACTGTCAGCTTGCACTCCTTCACTGAGAGTGATTTTCTCCTTCACTGAAAGTTTCATTTGAGGCGCCTTTTGCCTGCCTGCAATTCACACAACTCTCACACGCAAAGATATTTACAGTTAACAACAGAACGGCACTGTGCGGGGCTTTAAGAGTATTATCTCACGATATTTGTAAGTAATGTTGAAGTAGAGAATAAGTAAATGTTGCGTTTATATGGAAGAAACTGGCATGATGTAGAAAGCAATGCTATTTATATAAAAGCATGGGGTGTATTTACATTTGAAGTCGAAGGAGACAATGGTAATCTAAATTGCACATTACATATGACCCGACTCCAACCTTCACCCAACATGAAGACTATTTTTTCATTCACTCAAAAAAAATCCGCTCACCAGAAAATCAAGACATTTTTTGAATGATTTAACAGTCTAGATAACTTTTATCTTCTTGAAGAGCAAGAATATTGTCCAAATAGAAGAATATGAATTCTGAATCTTACATCAGATGGTAGTTGATCAAGCACTACTAATTTCTCTCATAATAAAAGCAGCGGCTGACCTGTTTGACTGCATTAGTTTCGGCTTGTTATGTAACATTTCATATATTGTTTACATATTTTAATTGCTGGTTTTGATTCGCATATTTAAAAGAATAAATTGCCCTTTTTAACAAGAGAAAATGTGCTCTGCTCTGGTCCTGATAAATATCTGTCTTAATGGATATGCTTTCTCGGGTGTACCACAGAGGCAGCAAATATATTATTTGTAATTTGCAAAGCTGGGGACCGGTTAAATGCTTGTCTGGTTTCCCCACTTGCAATCCATTAAGAAGTGGGTATTAAACACTTTACAGAATGGCTGCCCCTATTTTCTAATTAACACACAGTAGATAAGAGCAACATCAATTTGTTTTTTTCTGCAAAAGAAACATGCTGATAGGTTGCCAGTGCCATCACGGTTCACAGTATGCCCACACTCTTATAATGTAGTTAAATTTGCAGCCCAATATTTCATCTGATTAACTAAATATTGCTTTTCAAATGATTTTCTTTCTTTTTTCACTCATCGAGGGCGCGGAGGGAGAGCAGGGAAGTCCAGGGGAGGTTGGAGCCCAAGGACCGAGGGTGAGATACAGTGCTTAATCAGTGAATTAAGAGTCTTTCAAGCTACAATTTGTTTGTTACTGTTCTGTGTTCTGTTAATATGCTCACCAGGCATCTGCTTAACCTGTTTGTTGATCCAGGGACCTCAGGGAATTCGTGGAGCTATGGGAATGATGGGCCCAAAGGGAGAGAGGGTAAATGTTTCTTTCATTTTTAAGCCCACGACACCATGTATGTAAACAGTAATTGGTAAATCATTTAAATAAACCCTAATTTTGAAATTAAATATTCTTAAAAGATAAAATATAAGTTCTGGAGAAAATATGAGTTCATTTTGAATTTGATACCATGAGTTCATTAAAAAAGTGGACCAGTAGTCACAAATAAAGTGAAAAAAGTTTAGCAATTAAAACGAGATGAACTTATTTGATTGGCAAACGAACAGTAACATGAATAAATTGAACGAGTCTTGTCTTGAATAAGATTGTTGCGGGCACTGCATTAATAAAAAGACACTATTCTATAGTGTAGATGCTGCAGTCGTCCACAAGCACTTATGAAAACAGTTGGCAGTAAACACTTTTTTTTTCTTGCATCCATAAATGCAAAGTGAAAAGAAAATGTTGTTCAATTGCAGTTCATTTGAAACAAAATGATCAATAACTATCCTGTGGTTGGAATATATTCCTGAGCAAAAGGACCGTGTGGCTTGTTATTAGCACTTAGCTCAAAAGCCAGCATTGCTTATGGTATTAACGGTGTGACATCGGTACAACTGATGGAACATGGGTAACTTGCACATATATATATATATTATATTTTAGGACAAGACAAAATTATATTTTGTCTTGCTTATTTCAGCAAGACAATACCAAACTACTCCCATGTCTTACAGTAGCATAGCTACACAGTTAAAGACTGTGGATGCTAGCTTAACTGATTGCAGTCCAGACATGTCACTGATTTAAAAAACACCGTGTTGGCTTTATAATATGCCACATTATAAAACCAACACAGGGTTAACATGACCTGCCACAACATTTCCCAAACACACTAGCTAGATTTAAAATTCAAGATCATGTGTTTAAATTGTTTTCTTGTTTCTTTTAATAGTCTGTGCTGTATTTTATTGTACTTAAAATATCGTAAAAAGACTTTACTAAAAAAAAAAGAATCAAGATCAATCATATTTAATTGGTAAAGTGTTGTAATTAAATGATATTAATACCTATTTTGTTCTTTGGCAGGGACCTCGAGGTCCTGATGGAGATCCAGGTCCACAGGGTGTTGCAGGGGCAGCTGTAAGTTTGTTTCAATGTAAATACATTTGTGGTTCATAAAGTTACCAAAACTAGAATGAGAGGCAGAGGGTTCATGCTCCTCTTAAGTTGAACTTGGGTTTGGGAGACAAGTATCCACTCTCCTTTCATGATTATGCTTAAATCTCTTAAAGCTTAGAGCTAGCATTGGATCAGGTGACCCTGAACAATTCATTAGTTATGCTGCTATAGACCCAGGCTGCTGGGAGGACTTCCCATGAAACACTGAGCATTTCCTCTGCACTCCCCCTGTTTTCACTCCTGATTTGTTTATATGCAAATACTGAATGTCATTACCTTTAGTGTACTCTTCCTTATAGTTTGCATTTTGTCCTGTTTGTTCTCCTCGGTCTCTACGTTCCTTTTTTCTCTCTCCTCTTTCTCTTATTGCTCATTGTGGATTGCCTGAATATTGAGGGGTCTTTACCTTGCTATATTGTATATAAGTCCCTTTGGCAGACTTGTTGTAAAACGGAGCTACATAAATAAGATTGCTTTGAACTAAAGATGACATGTAAATATAACCTGACAACTTATTTCAGGGGGATGTAGGCCAAAGAGGTGTTATGGGTGAACCCGGGCCTAAAGGCGAACAAGTAAGCAGCAGCACTTTATCATCACAGATATGAATATTTTCATAAATAAAACATAAGAATAACTAGACTGTTTGTTTACAGCCATTAGAAACTATTGACCGTTGGATTGCTTTGTTGTTTAGGGTGCTCAAGGACCAAGAGGACTCACAGGTGTTCCAGGTCCCAAGGGCGAGTCTGTGAGTGTTGTATCAGTGATGACAAATAATCCTGTGATTATCAGATAGTGCACATTGTGAGCAAACCATGCATTGTTCTTTCTCTCCTTTCTCATCAGGGCTTACCAGGTGTGGATGGTCGTGAGGGTATTCCTGGAATGCCTGGAGCAAAGGTTGAGCATTATTACACTGTTTAATAGTTGTAACTTGTGTTATAACTTGCAATATTATAGAAAGTAAACATCTATTTTTCTCAGTAGATTAATCTTTTGCTCTGTTTCCCTGTAGGGAAGCGTTGGGAAGTCAGGCATCCCTGGAGAGGTTGGACTTCAAGGGCTTCCGGTGAGTATGACCTCTGAACTCAAACTGTCACAACTAAGTCATTTCAACGGGTACAGTTTATCTAAGCTCACATATTTTCTCTGGGTTTACATTTCAGTAAAGAACTGTTGGGTCGCATCTTATAATGAATATTACACAGTGCGCACATAGTGGACGGTGCTGTCAGGTAGTGATTACTGTCATCCTCAGGCACAACTGCCAGAGCAGAGTTTTGATGTGTCAAGTTTAGGGAATTTATGAGAATCATCTTGAAATTTCGAATGATTGCAAAAGCCTTACGAGTTATTATCTTCTTATTTGTGTCAAAATGTAATTATATCCACTAATCCAGCTTTTATCCTCTCTTACTGTTATGATGATGTTCATTTTAAGAATGGTACATTGCTCCTCTGATTGAAAGCAGTTTTCCTTTTTCTAGTGTCGTATATAAATGCATGTCCTCTGTTTTTAGGGTTTGCCTGGTGTACCTGGACCAAAAGGCATAAGTGGCCCTAAGGTGTTTTCCCTGATCAATATATTAAAAAAACGTTTTTTCTGTTGTTAATTGATTTTTATTATTTTTTCTCTTAAATTGTTACTATCTGAAATAAGCTTTGATGTTTCTATACAGGGAGATTCTGGTAACCCAGGCCTTTCTGGAGCAATAGGATCTGCTGGCAAACTCGTAAGTATGAACAGGGATTGTGGAAACATCAGTATAGCTAGTGTCACCTCTGTTATGACACTGTATCGTGTTACTGCAGGGTGAGCGTGGAGAACAGGGAGAGCTGGGATCTGTCGGGCCCATTGGTGAGCCTGTAAGTGTTTTTTTTCCCAAGAAGAATTTCTGTTATGCTTGTGCTTTGGATTTAAACTTTACTCCATTTCACCTTCTTATCATCTTCTTTTTGACCTACAGGGAGATAGAGGACAGCAAGGTCCTGCAGGTCCCGCTGGAAAGCCAGGTCCCCGGGTATGTTATAAAGAAAAATTCATTAGACTGTAATTGTTAAGTGAATCATTTTGATTGGGAAAACATTTATTTTTTATTTTTTTTTAGCTTATTTTAGCTTACATTCTTACCTTATTTGGGAAAATGCATCACTTTAAAAGGCCTGGCAGCCAATGTGTCCCCAGCAAACAACAACAACAGCAATCAGTAGAAAAGCTGGTAGACTACATTCCTTAATTATCTATAGATTTTTTTTTAAAAAACTTTGAATGAAAGAAACCAAAGAGAGGGAAACTTCAGACTCTAAAGTCCTGGCTGTTGTTTAGCTGGAATGTCTCAGAGAATAGATGGAGGCCAGATCTCACACAAGGTCTATTTTCACAGTAAGGGGAGACCAAGCAGCGGGCTGAAAGAGCTCTCTGTTCTCCTGGCATTCCTCAGAAAGCCGGACGGTGATCAAAGGGAGAATGGCACACACACAAACACGCCGGAGAGAATGACTAGCAATGCTAAGCTTTACGACAGTTACTTCTAAGCATGGTGTCAAGGGGGCCTGTGCTGGACATTTTTTTTCTTTATCCTTGCTTAAATGTTTCGACTTCTCCGATGTACATATTTTTTTTTTATAGGGACCCAAAGGTGACCCTGGTCTTCCTGGTCTCCCAGGTCCTCCTGGTCTGCCTGGAATAAAAGGAGAAAGGGTAAGTAAATAAAAAATTCAGACAATTTGCTTAAAAAATGCTAAAAAAAGGTAAAAATGGACTCAATAATCAGCAACAACCAGCTGATCGGCTCCCTCTAGAGTATACAAATGGAATATTTTGTACTTCTGAGTTTTGCATGGCGTCTTCATCTGTTTTTGTAAATTACAGGGAGATCGTGGAGAACCAGGACCCAAAGGAGAGCAAGTAGGAATGAATTAATTCTCTCTTAACAGGAAAATACTGAATTTAAATAACAAATGGGTTTCTTTGCATAGATTATTTGAAAACTTTTTCCTTTCTTTTCACAGGGAGTTCAAGGTGATGAGGGAAATCCAGGAGAAAAGGGGGATGTTGTAAGTGGTTACACTAACACTAACAGGATAAATCTGACATATTTTACACGTTCACTCTTACCAAAGCACATCTGTAATGTTTCCAACATTTGTGTTTGTTATTTTTGTCACAGGGTGACTCGGGAGAACCCGGCCCTAAAGGGGAAGTGAGTTGAAATTCGTTGTTTTTAACCTTAATAGCATCACCGTTTTCCTTTTGTGCCGAGTGACTGACAATGTGCTGAGGTTTTAAAATGCTTCTAGTCTAAAAGCTATTGTCTTTTTAGGTTGGGAACCCCGGTGAGGCTGGCAGAATAGGTCCCGAGGGAAGTCGAGGACAGCCTGGCATTGAAGGACCACCTGGCACACCTGGACCACGGGGCATGCAGGGAAACAGAGGCCCACCTGGAGTCAGAGGAACACAGGGTCCTGCGGTAGGTCCAAGAGAAAGTAGTTACCACTCATGAACCAAACTCTCGGGCCTAAGGCTTACAATTAACTGTAAATGTAATAAATAAAATAGTCAAATTGTAAATACATAAATAAATAAATGTTACTACATAAAATAACAATTTTGTCTTATATAAATGGTTTTCAGCAGAAGTGATGTGAACCAGCTAAAATTTCATTATCTGTCATTTGTTTCTTCAAGTGGTTTCTAAAATGAATCAAGGATTTGCCTTATGTGTTACAGAGTATGCAAACATGCCACATTTTCCACAGCTTTAGTAAGCAAAAACACGATCAATCCATATAATGCAATGATTTCAGTGTATGTTTAGTGTTTTACTTAAAAAAAAGCCACAAAGAATTCTAAGTATAATTAATAAGTGAATTAAAAAACAAGATAATACTCAGATAGAACTTGAACAAAACTTTAAGACTGTGAAATGATACATCTATAGGATACAACAGACTTATGGTGGCCCTGAGAGGTCAAATACACTGCAACTAAAACCCCCCCCAAAACAAAACAGCCCCCGCCACACACACACACACACAAAACACGCTGCAAAAGCTCACGAAACAAAACAGGCATGTTTCTGAGGAGACAATAACGTGACATGCAGAAGTTGACAGAAACCAAAGCATGTGCAGGATCGCTCTGAGACGCTTTAAAAGAAGCGGAAGATTCATTTGTGGAGAGGGAGAAAAAGATGCAGGTACTGTGTGTTTTAGTCACATGATTCATTATATACTGTAGCTACATGCTTTCTATTAGCCGCTTACTGTTAGCTTGTAACGCCTGCAGCTGTTCTGTCACGTTAATGTTTCCCAAAAACACTTTGTTGTGTTTTTGTGATTTTTTTTAAAAGTTGCAGTACTTTTGACCTCCCAGCGCCACCGTACCTGGGCCTAGATTTGAACTGCGGGCGTTGTTTCTTTGAGCTCACTGCGTCATAATGCCATTCATTTATTTTTTAGAAATAAATTTATGCATGTAGGTATGTATTTATTTTTTAAAATGTATTTAGGAAGTAATTATATAATCTCACATATTTTTTCCTCAGAATAATAATAAGCAGGTTAATGAAAAAACACATTGTTAAGCTTTAAGTTAATATAGGGTTCATCACAGCCATACACACTTTTATTATTTTGATGGCTTTGATATACTAATAATACTGCAAAATAAATAATAACACAGACGAGTGTCATATAGCAACAGTGAGTACACTAAACTCCAAAATTCAAGATGCTCCTGAAATACTGTTTCACTGATATCTTAGAAGTTTCTGCACCCACCTGATACTTCAGTCTGCGTGAAGTGAATCCCCACTTGCCCCCGGCTTGCCGGTGTTCTGGCATCCCTCTACAGGGAGGTGAGCAAAAGGAATGCTTCCTTATCAAGATCAGTGAAATCCCAAATTCAAATTCAACACCTGTGAGGTTGTAAGGGGAACACTTGTATCTCCACAAATGTCAACTTTTCAAGAGAGGAGAAAGTAAGCCTGGTATTCTGCTCTACCACTGTGCACTTTGTGTTCGTTAATCCTGTTATATAAGCCTAAGAACAGCAGTGTTTTCTCAACATAAAGAGGACTTAATAATCTTTCATTTTAAGATGGTCTGCTTCACTGTTGAGTCTCTGCATTAAATGCCTTAAACTCTGTCATGAAATCTATTAAGTCATCTTTTTCCTTCTTCCCTTCTAGGGTAAACAGCCAAGTGATCAGCACATCAAACAAGTTTGCATGCGAGTCATGCAAGGTAAGAAAAGATAGGCCTTTGACCCCATTTATCACTCCCCCGTGCCTCATTTCATGACTTTAATACGTCCCAGAATGCCTCATTACACAACCACACACAGAGCCACGGCTGCATTTTCTCATTTATCCGGGTGGTTGCTGAATACTCTGAAGTTGAAAAAGGGAAGGTCTCATAGCCAAAACATGAAATAAGCTTCAGCCTTTGTTTATTTGATGGATGAAAGATCCCTCCTCCGAGTTTTAGAAATGTTTCACCGAAGTCACAACCTCTGTTCTCTTCATTCTTTTGCTCTTACGTCTTCACAACTCATCTCCTATCCTCATGACTATTTTATACCCGATGTGCTGAAAAATTAATTTCACCTCCAGCAGACCTACACTCCTCTGCTCCAAGCAAAGAGTCTGCCTGGGAAGGAAATCTTTAAAAAAAAAAAGGAAAAAAAAAAGAGCAGTCGAGCAGCTACAGCATGAATTTTCATCAGGAGCCAGAAAACTGGAATTTTAAGTGCAAAATACCGTGCAGAAGGGAGCCACGGGAGTTTAATATTAGATCCTTTGCACCATGAACATAAATTTTCTGTCACTGATTGGTTGAAATAAAGAATATTATCTCCTTTCTGCTCAATTTACTGGTGTCCTATGGAAAAAGGTTAAAAGCAGGAAAGGCTTGAGGGATATCATGACCACACTTTCACCTCGATCGTGTCCAGTGCTCAAGTTTAAGAGCTCCCACGCGAGAATTGTTTCGGACCTAAGTGTGACATTAGTTTTTAGAAATGAGCCTTCTGGTGACAAATGATTTATTCTCAAGTGTTATGCCTTGAAAGTGCCCTTGACAACTATCAACTAGAGCTGTTGAGAAGCATTCAGTGACTGTTTTTCACCTAATGGTTCATCATCTTTCTGTTGCGCTTCCACAGAACAGCTGACTCAGTTAGCTGCTAGTTTAAGGAGGCCAGAGTCTGGCATTGCTGGTTTACCTGGAAAACCTGGCCCACCGGGGCCTCCTGGTCCTCCAGGAGACAACGGCTTCCCCGGGCATGCTGGCTCAAGAGGCCTTCCAGGACTCAAAGGGCCACCAGGACAGATGGGAGCAAAAGGACCCAAAGGTGATGAACGCGCTCTCCTTATTTGCTTTTTAATTAGACATTAAACAAAACAACGGCACAATTCTTTTTTTCTTTTTGTTTTTTGTAAATAAATTATATATCATTATATAATACGTCTTACAGGTGACATGGGAGACAGAGGGGCCAGAGGACCCATTGTTCGAGGACCGAAAGGTCAACCTGGACCACCTGGACTTCCTGGTGAGTACATTTTTATCTCTGTATGACTATCATCATGCACAATTACACATTACAAAAGTTAAACAACCTAAAAATAAAATAATAAAGCCTACATTGCTAAATCTAATCTATTGAAAAGCAACCAACAGTCTTTTATAATAAATCATGTGAGTAGCTGTTACATTAAGGATAAATGTTAACCTGTTTGTTAAAGTCAGCAATTAAGTAAAGCATATTTTGTCATCACAGGGGAACCGGGAAGGCCTGGCTATGGCCGTGACGGTCAGGATGGGCAGAGGGGACCTCCTGGCATTCCTGGACAGCTCGGTGTGCCCGGGCCTCCGGGTCCAGCCGGTCCTAATGGTTACTGTGACCCATCAGCCTGCAACCTTCAGGCAGGAGCTGCGCAGCAGTCCTTGGATGTGAAGGGACCTGCAGGAAACTAAGAGACATTCTGGCAAAGAACAGAAAGACTGTCGAATTATCTCCCCTGAGCACACAGCATTTTTCACAGTTTCTTCCCAGGGCCTCTAGCTGGCACAGTGCCTTTGATTCGCTAACCTCTTGTCTTACGAGCATGTTTTGTGCCAGCCACATCTCCATCAGAAGCAGCCAGCCTCTTTGAGTCGTGGAAAAACACACACATATATATTTTTTTTTATGCGCTGCAAAAATCTAGCCTGTTCTGGTGTGTTTTTTTTCTACCTGAGAGCTGTTTTGATATATTCAGGACTGTGCTCCCATTTCCGACATATAAAAATGACCAGAAATGGTTGTTTATCCCACTCTCCTTGTACCTCTGCCTGAATTTTCTTTTTGTGGTCTCCCTTAACTAGTTTTCCGAAATAAAAGCTCTTTCTTTTCCTCCACTTTTTCCCAGAACATCTCAAATAATTAACTAAATTAAATCAGGATGAGGATTTTTTTGGGGGTGAGAGCTGGGGGAGCTGAGGGTTTCAAACCATCATGGTCTCTATGAGCTGATCTTCCAAAGATAACCTTTCTGATACCCTCTTTTGAATATATAGTTTTACATTTCTGACTGTCTTTTCAGGCTTGCTGTATGGTGTAAATCTGTAAAAACTGAACAGTGGTTACTTCTATTCCCTACAAACCCCCTGATGTGAAATGTTACCTCATTGTAAAGAATGACAACAGAGCACAGCTGTGCATATGTGGGAGTATGTTTGAAGGATGAGGGAAAACCATCATCAAAGTAAGAAATACACAGGACAGCATATGGAGTGTTTAATTTATTCTGTATACCGGTGTGATTAAAGATAAAAATATATTTTGTAAAGAGTATCAGGAAATGATTCTTAACCATTTTTCCAAGAACCTCGGAGTTAAAAATGAAATAAAATACAAATGTCACAACTGACTAAACAGTCTCACAATCTACCAGCTGTTCGCACCTTTCAATCACATCACCAGATCCTCTGCAGCAGATGGTGCGTTCCCAGTTACAGAGGTACAAATTTCCATTTTCTTCTAAGAAATAAGCACTTTTCCTCATGACATAGTCAAAAACTCTCCAGAGCAGCTACTAAATAATTGTTGCAGTGACAATGTTTGCCTCAGTTGTTTCTCTGATGTCACAGCTGCTTAAATAAGTTCAATTCCAAACTAGTTTGACACATATCCCTCGCTATTTACGCTACCACATTTAAAAAAAGCATGTTGAAATAGTAAACTGGCTACCACCCCACCCCCCAAAACAAAAGAACAATAATTAACACAGAAACAGCATCAGGTTTGTGAATAAAGTTTTATTGAAAAGAAGTGTAAGTGCAGAATATACAAGGAAGTCACGCACTGAATAACATTTATTGCACACGTGTAAGGCAGATGCCATTAATCAGTGTAAATGAAAGAAGCTGCAAAGAAGGCTGTAAAGTATAACCTCTGATGCCTGGTAACCACCCCCCCACTCCCCCTTACACTCCCCCAACAACAGGAACATCACCGCGCCTGTTCTCTGTCATCCCATCAGCACGTCAGCTGATAACAGGACTGCAATATGTGTGTTTTTACATAGACATGAGGCTTTCATTCGCTTTTTCAGTTAAAAGGCAACAGTTGTTTTGGTGTCTCCCCCCCAACAACAACAACAAATCTAATCATGTAGTTGTGGTAAACCAAGACTGAGGTAGGTGTTCAAACAAAGAACAAACATTGAAGTCACACGGCACAACATGAGCTTATAAAAGAGCAGAGATCAGTTTCACTGAGACCAGCAGGCAGACATTTTTAATCCTAGGGACCACGCTGAGAGTCTGCTACATATTACATCTCATTACAGGCTTTGCTTACAAGATTAGATCACATGTGGCAACCGGATCGACTTACATTACTGGGGAGAATATGCAAAAAAAAAAGAAGGAAAAAAGAAAGAAACACGTGCACATATGAAAGCGGTGTTATTGTTTTAGGACGCTTCAACCTTCAATGACTCCGTCCACGAGTTTGCTTTCATCTGACATTTTCCACTTAGAACAATTGGAGTAATATGAATGGCTTCAAATTTCTAGTGAAGTGAGCTGTGTCATCAGCAGCCAATTTGTGTCCTCCCTACTTATTATGCTGTTTAGCTAAACTGAAGCCACAAACTGGTGCACATTAATATCAATTGAAGCTAAATTCAATATATGGAGGGAGGTGCTTTCATCAGCACGCTGAAAAAGTTTAGGTCACATTAGTTTGCTGATGCTGTCTCATTTGAATCTCATCAAGGTCAGTGTTATTGTCTCTGACGGGAACCCATTAAAACCGAATATGAAAATTACTTTGATGAAAAGACAGGAGCCCCTAGAAGGAGGGGATTTTATGTGGCCTACAAAAGCAAAGAATAATAGTTTCCCATTCACATTACAAAAGCAATGAAATACATGTCCAGCAGGGGGCTCTTTCAACTCACAAATGAAGTTTGTGGCAAGCGTTTGATTCAGTACTCCTCTAAAATTAAACCCACCCAGTCTGATAAAATTTAGCAGAGATAAAACCAAGCTGGCATGCTGAGAAAAATGTAAAAAAAAAAGGGGGAAAAAAATCTGTAAGATGTGAGTTAAAATTTACATGTATAAGAGAAGAATAATGACTGTGAAGTACAAAGGGAAAAAAGTGTCAAACAGCAGATGTTAAAGGAGAGACAGAAAGAACCGAGCTCTTAATGTCACAAAATTTCAGATACACACACAGAACGTTTCAAACATGAATCACAGCAGGACTCTTTAAAAGTCAAATTAAAGCCTTTGCATCAAGCTCTAATTAAACAGAGCTCAAAATGAAAACCTGAGGAAACCAATATACACTACAGGCTAATTATCTTTTTCTTCTACACAAAAAAGTTATTGTTTAGTGAGATTATAAAGTTTGAAAGAACAAAAACTTTTTAAAGAAGTGAATAAACTAAAATCCAATGTGTAAATGCTGGATTTTTAAAAAAATTCCTTTGTCATCTTTAGCGTACTTAAGTTCTTAAAATGTGTGTTTCTGCACAAGATCTACACTACAGTTACACGGCCTGTTTAGATAAAATGCACAGGCTTCAAAGGTTTCAGAAAATTCATAGCACATAAATAAATCCAGTCTCAAAGCTCCCTGAAACCCAACTGTTAAAAACACCACGGTGCGATTACGAGAAAGTTCAAGTACATGAAAAGTTTGATGCGTCTGTTAGCTGTAGTGTAGTATTCTGATCTCCTTTGTGTTTGTGAAAATCAAAAATATACATAAAAACCAGAGGAATTGTCATACACGACACCTTGTAAACAATATGTGTTAATAATTTGCAGCACTGTGTGACAGGTGAGAACCTTAACGTGTTGTTACAATGACAAAAAATGGATGAAAATGATGTTTTCAGGTCCCTTAACGCACCCCATTACACAAGAAAAATGAAAAGGAAAAACAAAAATTTAAAATACACAATATTTACAGATTAACTCCACAGTAAAGCTAAATGAAGGGTCACGCTACAATCACTGAACACAAACGCCATTTAAATTACATTCATTTCATGTGGAGAAAAATGATGTAAAAGGCTAAAAAAAGAAGCTCCAGACAAACAGTGTCACTGAGCTGTTTGTTGGTTTTGTCTTACGATGAGCGCTCAGTTAACAACTCGTGACTTGCAGAAAACTGGAAGACGCGTTAACCGACAATTATACGGCAGCTTCTTTTAAAAGTGATCATTGTACACGACGCAAACGTGTCACCAGAGACTCCATCGGGATTACAGGTAATCCGAAAATCCACTTTCTAGTAACAACGTCACTCAATATTCATGCTACATTTCCTACATTCATTGTGACCATTTTGAAAATACATTCTTGCAGAATGCGGCTTAAAATAAATAATTTCTATATCAGACACGTCGGCTGCACTTTGGTTACATAAGGCGCTTCATAAATCTGCTATTTTCTCACACCTCCACGTACAATAAGTACATTCGCTCAGCTAATCTGTTCCTCAAACGCACAGAAACTCGTGCAAACACGCACGAGAACACAGAAACATGAGATGTACCTTCGGTCGGCACAACAGCTTATCTGAGTGCGAACAGAAGAGTGCATAGACATGCCCATTAAAGAGGCAAACGCATAATTAAGATGGTGTTTTTTTTCAGACAGGAGTCATTTCATGGTCGTGAAAGACATGAGAGTTGACAAGGAATGCATCACGTCACAGTAGAGGATATGAAATTTAAAAAAAAGAAAATAACTTAAAAGTACTGCATTGCAAAGAGATTTCAGCTGTATTCAAAACAAACCCAACAGCAATCCCAGAAAAACAAAACCCAGACAGCATCTGAGTGTTTTAGTAAAGTGAAAAAAAGAAAGAGGTCAGCGGTGAGTCTCTCCGACTTCCCCTGCTGTGTGGCTGCAGCACTGAGCTCAGAGCCGGATGGCTGTCTTCGTAATAGCTCAAACCCCTCTGCTGGGCTCACAAAGATGGAAGAAGACAGTTGCTGGGGTCGCAAGTACCGGGGGGTCCACGGGGCCCTGGAGAGCCAGGAGGGCCCCGAGAAGAGATCCCAGGTGGGCCTTCACAGAGAATTAGAGTGCATTAATTACGGCACCTGGCTGCACTTTATCATCATTCAGAAGAGCTTTCAATTAGTGATAAAGCAGGCACATGTTCCCCTCACAAACACTCACAGCCATTCACTGTCCATACAGGCGAGCTGTACAGAATCACAAATGGAGGGTAGCCAGCTGTGAACATTATAGTGCTTCTGCTACATTTAGATCATCGCCTGGAAGTCCCGCTCTCACCACTCACACGGACCTCGAAATTGCACGGAGTATTAAAAGTATACTATCTCCAAGTAAAGAAAGCTACACGAGTTCAAAATTAGCAGTGTGGTAAGATAAATTCGTTGTACAAACACATGTACAAATAGGTTTATTAATGTTAAAACAAAGACAAAGAAACCCCTTCCATTCACAGAGCAATCTGCTTTGTAAGTATTTCCAGCCGCCAGCTTTAACCACCAAGATAAATCACTATTCTCAAGCCATTTCTTGTTAAAGTTGCATTTTCCCCATTTCCTTCGACTAACGAGCAGGCTGGCTAGCAGGACCTTTTTCTTTATTATCGTGAATGTATTGCAAGTCCTAAATTGAACTCACCACTGGAAATAAGCATCGGGGAATTGTGTATTCTTATTTTACTTAAAAGCAAATTACAAGCAAAAAGGTTAGCCAGTGTATCCAGGGTAGTGTTACCTTTGTACACATGTTTAGAAGAATTAAAACAAGAACCAGGCAGATTTTTACCTTTGGTTTGTTAGCAGATCTGCTCCATTTATATTCACTAATGTATACTTTTTTTTTTTTTTAAACCAGCAGTGTCTTTGAAATCAAGTGTCAAGCAGACGACAATTCCTATTGAGAATTATTCATCAGCATTTCAAAGCACAAGAGATAAAACTTCCTGCTTAGTTAATTTAGTCAATATTTGATCAGAAAATGACTCAGCCATTCTAAGGTTTGCTGCTTCCAGTTTCTCAAAGCGTGAAAGACTAATTGCAAGGCTAATTAAAAATAAAAAACAAATATTAGGTGCAGCTTCTACACGGTCTTTTTATTTTAGAACATTTGAAATTGCATTTAATTTGTTTAGTTTTAAAATCAATTTAAAAAATCAGTCTGTAATTACAGTCGCAGTTCTTCTTCTTCTTCTTTACTTTCATTTAATTGAGAAATGCTCCTCTGATGTAATGCAAAGTGGGACTGCAGTGAGTATCAATAGATCACTATATAGCTGCATTGGAGGATCATTCAGAACTGAGGACATCTCATTTGCAATTAATGAATTCTCCGGTTTCTCTGTAATGAGAATGGAGGAGAGAGGAAGAACACATCCTCGCTGTCTGATATGGTGAGGTCATCGCGGCCGATGAGACATTAGTATCTCATGTTACTTAGCAACAGCTTGCTGAAGTGTCAAAGCGGTCTGCATTGCTTCATGGTCTCTCGTATATTCTTCATATACGAAAACAACACCAAGAATAACACCTTCTTTCTCAGAAAGCCTGCAAAAAAAAAGACAAGAGACAAAAACAAAAACAAGCCCTCCACTGCAGTCCTGCCACAGGAGTGTCCATTACATCAGTCAACCCATTCACAGCTCGAGGGAGCCTTGCCTCCACTATAGTTTGTACAAAGAGAATTGCAGGTACTGCCTTGTCCTTTACCTCCCTGCGAAAACACAACTTGCCCTTTCCATCAGAGCCACATCCATCTACTGCTTAAGTGCTCAGACAAACTATCCACAGTATCGTGGCGGTGGAAAGATACAGGAAAAAAAACCCTAATCATCTAAAGTACCTTATGTTCCAGTTTGTTAATTCTCTTTGTTAATACAACAAGTTTAAGTGGCTTTGTACAGCTGATAGCTTTACCCTGCTAATTTGGCACAATTCAGAACTAATGCACTCCAACGGCAGCACCTTCAGGTCTAATTACCATCAGAGCACATCAGGGAACGAACACGTGGAGGCAAAGATAGCAACTACAGTATGAGGTCACTTCTCAAAAAGAAAAACCCAACAACTTGAAAATACTGATTAATTAGAAGTGCCTTGATTCATCGACCTGTGGAGCCTGCCAGACAGATTTCTTACCCTTTATTTTATGTATTTATTATATTATAACTGATAAATCAAAGCTGTGCAAATTTCATTTACGTGACTCACATATCCCAGTCTGAGTCTGAGGGGAACCTGCTCTATGTACGGCTAGTGTCAAGAATACCACCAGGAAAACCAGAGGAGTGGGCCAGCTCGTTGATAGCACTTAGTTTAAGCACTTTCAAGGTCTTCCTGAGACGTGACTACAGCTTAACTCTAACCCCCAACCAGTTGAGCTGCAGGTGCTTCTTATAACTGTGTGCCTACAGAGATGATGTCTTTCAAAAGCTGTGATTTGTCCTCTCCAGTGGAGCTACAGCCAAGATATCTTTCCCCTGCACATGCATTATGTGCATACATACACTCCTACAGTCACAGGCTGAAAATCAGCAAGTTAACCCCACTCCTCATCTTCCATCAAGATATGGTGAGGTTTGTCGTGCAAAATAACTAAAAAAAACCCCAAAGGACATGCTGACATCTTGGTTTGTCTCCTTTTGTTCACGACAACACCAAGCAGTTCATTTTATAGAGCGGAAGTCATTTTCTTTCACCGCCAAATTCATCCTCTATTGGGGTCCTATTTATGTCGCAGGAGCACAGGGGTTTTTTGAGAACATAATGCAATCTAGAAGCCAAGTTGACTCTAACATGCTGAGAAACCAAATGAAGGCTGAAATAGAATTAAAGGCTGGAGACTTGACTCAGCCCTGGCGCATTTCTTTCCTTCTTGGGGGCAGCTAAAAAAGCCTGATAAATAATGGCGAAAGGAGGGGTGGTCAATGTAATGGTTATTCTTCCTGATCATTTTAATACCTGCTGTATAATTAAAACACGAGGAGGGCAATTTTCAGAAGTGCCCTTATACATAGGTGCAAATAGCATAGTTTCTGCCATTTTATTAGTATATGACTGATGGTTAGTGAGAGTTTTCAATTAAAACACTTTCTTATTTGAACATTTTAAAAACGCAGGACTGTGTCAAAAGAGGCAATCAGTATATGATGAGCTATGCTAAATCCAGTTGCTGACTGTGGCTTGAAACAATGTTGATAGAGGTGAGGGGGAACAAAAACAGTAACTCTGCAGTCCATAAAACTAAAACAATGAGCTTAAAGACAGTAAAATGCTCCATAGAACTGAGGAGAACAGCAGAGATGGGTGGTAATTCTCTGCATGTTCAGCACTTTAATTGACCCTTTTGACTTTACGCGTTGTCCTTTGTTTCAGAGTTGCTGTAAAACTGCTGGTGATGGTGTAAGGTATTATATAGATAAAGTCTCCAATGTAAAAAAAAAAAAAAAAGCCAAGATGCCTGCTGGATTTAGAAAGCCTGGAAACTATTGCTCATGAACACTTAAAAAAATGACCAGAAAGACTCATTGGAAGCAAAATACTAACAAATGAGGGGTGGATAAAGAATTTTGCACAGCATATCAAATTAAACACTCAAACTAAAACGGCTCTACTCATAAGGTGTTCTTACCTGGTGGCCCCGTGGGTCCTGGATCTCCTGGTAACCCCAGTCCAAGCTGGCCTCGCTCTCCTTTCTGACCCCTGATTCCTGTGGACACAAACACACACACAACATTGTGGCTGAGAAAACAAATACTACAAACTTAAAGCAGTCCTGTTGTGGTGCCATCTCTACACAGTTTGAATTACAGTTAGTAAGATTAGTACAAATGCCAAAGCACGACAAAGTGTCAAAATGAGGACACACTTGTGGAACTTTTTTATTTGTCAACGGACTCCTAATAACACTGCACAGCTTCTCGATTATGTATAATCAGGATGACAGCAGTGTCAGGTATCAAGTATGCACTTATTTTGAGAGATGCACCCTTAGTAGGTGAAGTGGAAACAGACAACTGCATTGTGGATTTGTGCAGCTTTCTAACAACAGCACACATCACATCTTTGACGATTTCAAAACAGAGACAAGAGGCTTTTAACAATCAGAGATCAGACACGTGGGTCACTAAAGGCATTCAGAGAGTGGAAAGGTAGGCCAAGTCAAAGGTGAACTCCGCAAACAATCGTGGCTATTCATGACAGACGCTTTACTCTGATGCTCATTATGTTCACTCTGTCCTATGCTGGAGACTGGCTGCTGCCTGAGTACCTCCAAGAAAGAACACAAACTGTGAGCATGCTCAGTGTGTCAAAGAGAATTCAAAGCATTCGCGCATCTTCAAGTCAGACCAGGCAGGCGGTTGCTTTTAACTGTATGCAAACAATCATATTATTCAAGGGCTTTTTCACTGCATGCAAAAACCAGTACGTCTACAGTTCAAAACAGCAGCATACCAAGTAAGAATTTGAGAGGCTGCAAAAAATATTTCCCCACGAGGCACTTAAAGTAATGGAGTCTCACAACCAGTGGCTGCATGGAGTGCATCAGAAACATTGACAGGAGTATCAAGCATTTCACTGCTTGGCCCAAAGGGGAAACGCTCCAACGCTTACATGTCAGAGAAAATCTCAGAAAAAAGGCTTATGAATGCTCCAAAACTGAATCTCAAAGAAATAAAAAAAGGGGGGCTATCCACACATTGCCACAATAATGAGACTTCTTTCAACACTCACAGAGCCCGGGGCATTCATTCAGGCAGGAGACGTTCCATGGAGAAAAGTGCACTGTACCTTGAGCAAAAAAAAAAAATAAAAAATTTCTGAATAGCACACAGGGCAATAAGCTTGGGGGCCACGGTGGATTGGTGCAGTCTGATAAATTGAAAAATGCCACACTGCGTACTTAGTTGAAAACAAATTGTGTCTTGGGGCACTAATGGACAAAGTAAGTTAACAAAATATAATACTGGCAAACAGTGGTTTTACATGCTTCATTGAACCTGCACCTGTTGTACGCTGTTGTATACAATATTAAAAGACACATCTACTTAATCGTACCGTGTCTTACAAAAAAGAAAGAAAAAAACCCAACTTTCTTTCTATTTACTGATATGTCCATCTCACAGGAAGAACAGAGCAGCTTTCAAACAGAGTTTACAGACATGTTTGTTTCACTCAGTATAAATGTTACACAGAATGCATTGAAATACAAAACAAATGTTAAAACAAGAACACAAAAAAAGAAGCAAAATTGATGAAATATGCACTTGAGCACAATGGCTTTCATCAAAGAGAAACTTTCTGAAGATCCCAAAAGTGAACGATGAATCACAAATGAGCACTTAATTACAACAAAGTAGGAAATAAAGAAATGGTGTTCTCCAGCATGAGCCCCTATGGGCGTTCTCTTAACAGCTTGAGACTTTCACCCATGTGAAATCACACCAAAGACAGAAGAAAGGAAGAAAAGAAAAAACTGTGAACTCATCAGAGGGGTTATTTTTCTCCATAAACAATTCATTTCGGCATATTGGAGAAGAAGTCAAATTGGATATTCCAGAGGAGCACAGTCTCCAGCGGAGGATGACGAGAAATAATGAGGAAATATTACCCCAAACTCTCAAGGCCCAAGTCAACAAAGAAAAAAAAATTAAGAAGTTGTTGAATTTCTGAATTATCAAGGGAAATAACTTTCCTCTTTGCTTTCAATAAATATTTATTGCAAAGCTGCATTAAAGATCACCTATAAAACACTTTTTTTTGGAAGCGTAAAAAAACAAAACAAGCAAAATAAAGTCCAAGACATGTGTAAACGCCAGTGGCATTAACGCACAAATATTTAGAGTTGAGTAGCTGGCTAATTTGGAGACATTCGTGAATGAAAGCAGCCCTTTATATCATAGCAGTGGGTTAAAATGTAAATGGTCTTGAATAATGTGAGGTAGATAACAAAGCTCAAAGAGAACGGCCAATGCAGCGGTGCTTTTGATCTGCACCAACACAATCAAATCACTCCTCTTTAAAAGTCACGATACCATAGTTCTGCTGCGGACACAGTACAAATCTAAGCAAGTCTGAGGTACAAAGCCTGCACCGGCAAACCATTAGTGTTGTATGAGCAGTCAGAAATTTGTATTAGTTTGATAAAAGAATGTCAACCCTCTTTCCTGACTACGCTCCTTTTGCATTTTAGGGGCTTTCTTTCCTGGAGTGAGGTATCAATACTGAGGTTCTTTCCTGTCCACATTGATAACACTTTCTCTTTTTCACAGCCAATTCTTCGTTTGTCTTCATATTTCCCAGAGAGCCGCTGTGCACCACACTCCCGGCCTTTCCTCTGCTCCCCGCCCCTCAGTCTGCATTGATATATGGGTCTATGCAAGAGAGAAATACCCATGAATCCGCACAAAGTGCAAGTGTAAGCCCGACTCTAATCCAGCCAGTCTCCAACATTTCAAATCAACATCACAAAAACACGAGATGCCAACCAACAGGGTGCATCTCACAAAAATGTGACGCTTTCCTCTCTAAAATATAATTGGCTAAATGTATGGTTCGGTAAACCACACGGTGTGTTTGCTGAAGTAATTATAGGAGTACATATATAATTTCTTTTCATTAAATAAATTAAAGTTAATCATGTTTCATTAACAGCAATCAGGTTTTACAAGTGTTATTTCTATTCATTCATTCATATTTAAATTATAGTATTTTTCCAGCAGTGGCATTAAGGTGCAGCCGTTCCGCCTGCCATCCTACCAGGAGGTCCACGCTCTCCTGGTGAGCCCGGTAATCCATCCTTTCCAGGAGGTCCAGGAGGTCCTTGGATCTGCGACGCTAAGATGCCTGCAGGTGTCTTCTGTAGCCCGCTGTTGCTAGAAAGCTTCTCTGTGAAGCAAGAGAAGAATGCTTAGAGGTAACACAACACAAAAAATAAAAGTACTCCAAACTAATTAAAATAAACTCAGTTTTTTTGTTTTTTTACCTTCAAAAATCCTCGATACTTCATTTCGGATAAACATCCGGAGTTCCTCTGTAAAGCTGGAGTCATCCTGTGAGCGGAAATAGCGATAAAGCACTATTTTAACACTTAACAAGAGAAACTAAAGCAATTAAGGGACAATAAAAATAAAAAGATACAAGTAAAAATGATAATTAAGTGGATATCTGGAACATTTACTAAATAAAACATTTCTTCTACGCAGATTGTTCAAACCAAACTCGACAAAAAGCAGGGCAGAGTCATTCAGTTTAAATTCAGCTTTTAAAGCTTCCTCCTGACTTGAAAGCCTACCTTGCATTGCAGTTTAATATAACGTCTGAACCCAAACTCAGCAGGCGAATATTAAATTTGGTATTATAGCTTTAAAGTGGTGTTACTTTATTTCCAATTCTGAAGTAATGCACTGCCTATTTAGACTGAAAGTGCAACTTGTCACACTGGCTCTATTTGCCTCCATATGTATGGAAGGATAAAGAAATAATATACATGCATAGAGCACGTACGCACAGCGCACAGCACACAGCACACGCTGTGTGAACCTTTCTCAGCTGGATTGTTGGTGCTTTTTTGTGCCGTACCAGTTAGGAAGCCAAACAATAGTATCCCTGGACCTCAAATCTTTGCATTCAGAACAGTTTTTCATCCCTGTGAGTGTTATATAACGGTTGCGGCTGCATATAGTAAGTGTAAAATGTCTGTGACAGATGGAGGTGTTTTCGCTGCTCTGCAGAGCTCCAGGCACGCCCACATATCTGTCTTTCTTTCGGTTTCCGTCTCACTCCCTCTCTGACCTTCTGTTGCGCCTAGATGATCAGGAGTGGGAAGCGCTGAGCAGAAAGAGAACAGCAAGTTCCCGTTGCACTGCCTTGTTTGATGTTTCATGCAGAAAGCTGTAGCTACACCATTTTCCCCCCCAGTGTATGAGAACTGAGGTGGTAACTCAAAGGAACGAGTTGCCCGGTAAAGCTTTTTAATTATCTGGGAGGGTTGTCTTTGTTTACGGTGAAAATTTTCAACTCACCAGGAGGCTTTCACTCCCCAGGAGTCCTGGAGGGCCGGGATCACCTTTTTGCCCCTGGGTACCGATGGGTCCAATTTGGCCGGGCTCTCCTGGGCGACCCCTCTCGCCCTGAACGCCTCTTTCTCCAGGAATTCCTGGATCACCCTGTAGCATTAAAAAAAAAGTAGCAGCTCAGATATATCTCACCTGTGTATGATGTTGAGGCACCAAACATGTGAATGTGCTACAGCTACCACTCCTGGCTAGAAAAAGCTGCATCAGTGTCACTATAATCTTCAGGTCCCGCTGTAACTTTACATACTGTGCACAATGACCCATTTCTCCTAATGTGTCCAGTTAGTTACTGGTCCTGGGGTTCTGCTGCCAAACATAAAGCTAAAACCTCATTTTGGATCCTCTATTAAAGGCGTTTGCAACAGATTACTGTGGAAGTGTGACCAAGCTTTTGCAAACACAATAGCAAACTGCACTGAGCGTTAAATGCCTTTATCTAGCGCTTATGTGCTTGTGGGGATTAGTCATATTTGTGCTGAAGTGAAGACTTTCATTACTATTCATTACTATTCATCAAAATCTTTTTGTTGTGTGTTATAGTTGGAGTCACAAAAATAGCTTCCTTTTAAGAAAAGAGGAATGCTTACACGCTCTCCTTTGGATCCTCGTTCTCCTTGTCTACCTGTAGCTCCCTTAGAAAGGAAAAAGGAAAAATTATAGTTATATAGTTGAGGTCTTTGTTGAGGAGTAAGAAGAAAAAAAAGGCAGTGAAACAGTAAAAGGAAATTATTCTGACCCTGAAACTTTTTAGTAGCTGCACACAAAGCATTGATGTTTGGGATTGTGTAAGGGCGCGAGCAACACTCAGTCATTCTATTATGTTCATTTGGAATTTGTTCATTTGAATTTCTGTTAAATCCACTATAAGCGATGTTTGCAGAGGATTCTTATGAATTATTTGACTCTGAGGAATGCACGCTTTTCAGTTGACGCTGCACTGATTGCGTCTTACTCAGCTCAGGCATAATTCCTCCCCGTATAGTGTTTCACCTTCTGCAATGTCACGGATCCTCTGCATCACTCCTGGTTTGTATGATGAACGCCTTCCCACCAGCTGCCTCTACTGTACAGAGGAGCAGGGAGAAAATACCTGTCTCTGGTTTCGTGTCACAACATCTTGTGTCTTCCAGTCCCTCTCTGTCACTCCTCATTGCTTCCCTTTACTCTGCTCACAGAAATACATTTGGGAGCATCTTTGTATCAATTTCCTGCTGGATTACAGGAGCCATGCAAAAGACAATCTGGCATGATGTGGTTTTTGAAGCGGGCATCGCTTTGTGATGCCGTTCTCCCCTGCCTGCTTTAATCTGCAGTACTCTGTATTCCCCGCTGCCTGATGGGAGGCTTAAATCTATCATCTTGCCCACTGAAATGTGCTTCCCTGAGCATTACATTAAACCTCAAAGCAGTGTGCAAGGAATTTTGCTAAAGAAGGCAACTATACCATCTGCTAGATGGCACTGTTGCCCCACCAAAAAGTCGTGCCTATCTATAGAAAGGCTCTGTGTGATGCTGAGATTATGAACAAATGGAAGGAAAAAAAACAATAAAGTACTTGGGCTGTCATTAAGGTGTAAGGTGAAAAAAAAATTGTAAATCAGAGAAAAGCTGTAATAATCATAGTCAATCGAGTTTGGGTATTAGATTGTATAATGTGCAGTGAATGGCAATTCAAGCCCATACTGTGAGACCATTCTGTGTGATTATGTAGTAAACAGTGTAGATTTGATCAGGTACATAAAAGTAGACTTTTATGCATATTTATTTCCATTTTGGCCAGGTTCATCAGGCAGAAAAATGCATATTTAATCTGAAGCATCTACTGCCCTCTATTACAAACATTTTATCATTGCCTGAAAGCATTAACTGTATAATGAGGGTGAAAAGACTAAAAGTCAACAAAGCCTTAAATCTGCAGGATTCCATTTAGTTTTTTTTTTAATCGTTAAAATCTCAAATATGCAAATAGCTTTAATGCAGTCAGCACGCTGTAGCTTGAGGGGGGATAAAAATCTGCTGTGCCATCTTTCTGTAGCTTGGCTGATGTAAAGCACTTTCTATAAGGGGATTTGCGACGCGTTCACACAACTCACCTGGTATCCTGGAGTTCCATCTTTTCCAGGTCTCCCCTGCTCAAGAAGCGCAACACAAACAAAGACATTTTGTATCAGCTCCCGCCTTCGATTGGATCAGCACTGTTGCACTCCTAGTAATCTCCACAGTTAATGAGATATCTCAACCAAGGGATAATGATCCTGATTGCTGTGCGAACATTGTTCCATTGTGCGCTTACAGGGAAAATTACAGAAACCATCTCTGATGGTAATTATGTGGAGCAATGTAATCATCTACAGGACAAGCGGAAGCTAACATATGTATTTTATTCATATTGTCCTTGAATCGTGTTGCTTTTCTTCCAGACACACACTACAATGGTAAAACAACTATGCGGCCATGTTTTAATAGCGCTGTTTCTAGTGTGGACATTATTGGAAGGTGCTTTGTCAACATCTAGTAGTGATAATATTAAGGGAAGAGCGACAGAATTTGTGTAGCATCCTTACAGGAAGACCTTGGGGTCCCTCGGGCCCAGGGAATCCTGTCTCTCCCAGCGGACCCCTCTCACCCTGTCACAGAACAGAGACAGCCAATGTGTCAGTCGGCAGTGACAAAGGAATGACGCACAGATTGACAGCTCAAAGAGAGTTAGAGGCTCAGGCTCACCGGCTCTCCTGGGATCCCTGGCTCTCCACGAGCGCCGGGCTTTCCCTGTCAATCACAAGTATGGGAAAAGAACAGACCGTGTTTGACAGGTCCTCGATAGTGTGATATCTACAGCACCCCTGTAACCTTCCATTTAAAATACAGAGACCAGCATACAAAAGCTGCACAAAAGAAACCTTCCCAACAAAACACTGCACAAACAGACTGCAGGTGTAAGGCAGCATTATTAATCGAAATAGTTTGGTGCTATAGCAATTGAGAGCTATTATTCTGTCTACTTTAAAAAAAACATCACTGACTTGTTGCCAGAGGCAGACTTAAATAACATAAATGACTGATCAGAGAGAAGTATGTCCTAAATTAATTTTAAAAAATGGAGGACTTACTGGAGGACCTAGCATCCCTGGTGGACCAGACAAACCCATATCCCCCTGGAAGCACAACATATTAGGTAGATAATGTACACATAACATAAAGAATACTATAAATCACTGTCACATCAAGCAGACACACAGATAGTGGTATCAGAAACTCCGTATAATGAAAGCTGCTGGGCTGCTATGTGTCTGGACAAGTGGAATGCAAAAATCTGAAACACTTAATAAAAAACTATAAATATCTCCTCAGAAAAATCACACACATATATTTATTATAAATGACTTCCTTAAGATCTTCATATTTCAACACCAAATGCTCTGCATATGTCAAACCTTTGACAGCAGGCCCTGAAAGGATAAATTACTCTGGATGTCAGAGAAACTGAAATATTCCACCCCCATCAACCTTCCACAAAACACACAGTCACACACCGCCAATCAGTGGAAACACTTCTGCACAGAAAAGGCAGGAAGTTATGAAAAGATGCCTCTAGGACTTTTTTTTTTTTAATGAAGGAAAATTCATTAAGTAATTGTGCAAATTATTAATTATTACATGAATACTTTGGCTCCAGCTCAGAAAAATGTGGAATTCTCAGAATTTAACAGGCGGTCATCGTGAAAACTTTGTATCTTGACGTTTACCTTAGCACCCGGCAGCCCTTCAAGCCCAGGTAATCCCATGGGCCCTGGTTCCCCCTGTGAGATAAAAATACACCAACTGTTATGTTAAGACAAAAAAACAAACAAACAAAAAAAAACCCCAAGCCTCCTCGCTTTCCCCATTTCCCAACCAAGAATGAGGTTATTTCTGTCTCACAGTCCTAGAGTGAGGCTGGCGATAAGCGACTGGAAGGTAACAAGTGTCATTATAAAGCGACCATCATGCATAAATGAGCAGATATAGATCAAAAATGGATGAAGGCGAATAAATTTAATTCTGCAGGGGCCAAGATTTTACACATTTCCCACTCTCATCTTGATGATCTCGGTCAGGTATTGAGAGGACAATACTTCAAATGACCTAGGACACATGCTGTCACACCTTGAAGGCTTTATATTCATTAGAAAAACGAAAGCCATTTGACAATCACAATCACACCTGCTTTCTTCACTAAAAATAGAGAGCCATTCCCAGTGCTAAAGCAAGTGATGGCCTCTATCCACCTCATCTTGCTCGCGCTGCCATGGAGAAATGCCATTACACAGAATAGAGGGGCGACCGGCACTGACACAGACGGATTGTCCAGGTAATTGTCACACATGTAGATTGTCACGAATACGTTACTCAGGCTACGGGAAGAGCGGGCCAGCCAGAGGATCAGCTGTGAGACGGATTGGGGCAATTCCACCAAGGCATTGCGGACGCTTGAGCAATTTATTAAAATGTCAAATTAACATGCCAGTGAAAAATCACCGTGAAACAAAACAAACAAACAAAAAATAAAGAAAATTTAAAAAAATGCAACTGGGCCCGAGAAAAATGGATGATTCCCATGTCTGTGTGGACTGTTTTCAGGCGTCAGAGTTTGGGGGATGGGCATTTGAAGTGCAGTGAGGGTTTGTGGGTTCCCACTGGCAAGACAATATGGTACAAAGGTTTCATATTTGTAGGAGTTGAGATCATTTTTTTTTTCCTGTGTGTTGGAGTTCTTCTGAAAGTGGTTAAGTGCTCGGGCTTGAGGCTGTATTGACTTATTTTATCCAGTAGAAAGCCATAGAAATAATTATAGCAAGCAACTGGCAACTCTGACTTTTTGCGAGGAGCACAAAAACAGCCAAATGCCTCAAAAAATATAGCCCACGATGAAAAGCTTCAACTTACTGCAGGTCCTTCATCTCCTTTGGGACCCTTAAAAAGAGAAAGAGAGGGAGAGCGGACATATTACCCCCGTGAAAGTGACAACTGCTTCCATAAAAATCGTAAATATCATCTTTAATGGCATGTGGTTACTGTATGTTATTGTCATTTAAATTTATATTAGTCATTATTACTTGCCTTTTCTCTTATTTTCTGTGTGTAAATCACGCTAATAGTGTAATATTGTCCCAAGCGCAATTAAAATGATCAGGATCATATAATCCAGTCAAAAAGGCTTAAAACAACACCAGCCAGCAATTTTCCACATTAATAAGCACAAGCAATTATTGATGAATTGAGCCGCTTATCCTCCTTAACACTGATGAAGATGCTCCTTTATTTAGATTGCTCCTGTGGTGCTGTTGGCCTGTGATGGATGCAGTACCGGGAGAAGCATCCTTAAGATGTAGCTATGGCTCATGTCCATTGTGCACTGGGGATAGCAGAGTGTCTACTTTTTGTCACCACCTTAAGTGTTCGTTTTGGTGGATGGATCCCTGCAGGGCCTGTGACTGAATGTCTCTCAGGACTGGACAAGATTACAAACTGTTTGATAAGGAGGAGCAGGGGGAACCCGATAAGCAAATCGGGTCACTTCGGCTTGGCACTGTGCAGAGCAGCCGAACTTCTAAGTCCATTTTGCATTTCAATGATGTTGTGTGTCCTGGGGTGGATAAGAGGCACCTGTTTGAGAGTCAGGAAGCCTCTTGGCCTTCACCAACCACCAGATCTCAATGAGCATGATTGACTGTGATATAATAGCCTTAGAAGCCAAGATAACACCAGAGGACTGGTCAGGCTATTTGTTATTCAGCTCTCCCAGGCTCTGCAGCTCAGACAGTATCCACATGCCTGTTTGCTAGTGTTACTCCACAATTCAGTGTAAAGGATTTGCTTCAGGCACAACAATGATTATACTTACCGGAGCACCGGGAGCTCCAGGGGGTCCTAAAATAGCTCCACCGCTCTGCAAAGAATTTTTTTATATTTTATAACACGGGCCAAAAACAACAAGCACAGAATCTTTTTCTAGCAAATTTGACTTAAGGCTCTGCACAGCACCATGCATTCAGAAGATCACAATGACAATGATCTGAAGTTTTTTAAAATCTTTACCTGTGGCTTGTACAGGCTGCCCATTCCGTTGCCCTACAACACAACCCAGAGTAAATCAGACATCTTCTCTAAGAGGCTCTTTTCATTGAATGTAAGTTCTAGGCACCGGGAGTCCTTACAGAAAACTGTACAGTAGGTCTGAAGCAGTTATACACTGCTAAGCCCTTAAAAGCTACATAAGAGAGATCAATAGCTCATTTGGTGATTACAGAGAGAGAAAGGAAGAGAGTGCGGGAAAGAGTGAGAAGTGAAAAGAGGAGAAAAAAAACATAGAGAAGCGTAGACTTAATAATCCTTGAGCCAGTCGTAATTCCAAAAAGACGAGTGCCTCAGAAATACAAAAGAGCACACTGATTAAAAAGATTTGGGTATGAGAACTAGGTAATCTGCTCTTCTTGTATAGTATTAGAACATATAATGATGTTTTTCCCATGATAGATTGATAGAGGGCAGCTATTGTAAACGTAGAAGGAGTCAAGGTTCTCATTTAGAAGCAAGTGAATACCCGTGCCCTTTTCAGGCCACTGAGCCATCTCTTGTCCTCCCAGACTGCAGTTTATGAGGCCAGGGTGTGAGGGGAGGGGGGGCAAGGCAGGTTCAAGGGGACAGCTGATGAATTATAGATTTGCCTTTGGAAGCGCTTACTCACTTTCCTTTTAAAGGAAAGAAACATAACTCAATGCCAGCGTGCAGGTCGTGACGATTTCATCGTATTTGTACCTGTTTGTCATTTATGCTTTTCCTGATACAATAAATACTGTTAGACTGAGGAAACATAAGTGCTGAGGACATGCATTTAACTCGCTAACCATAAGAGTGTTTCCAAAAGGATAAAGTGCCAGTAACAAAATAATGTGTAATCTATTACCCTAATGTAGGTTTTGAGACTTATTATCAACAGATAGCACTTGTTGAGGCACCAGGAACTTACCGGAGGCCCTGGAGGCCCTGGTCTACCTGGAGGTCCTTCATTTCCCTGCCAAACACAAGCCAGAGGAATTTTTAAACATGTCTGTGAAAATGCAAATGTTTATCAGCCACAGTCCCATGTTAATGTAATCAAGTGAATCTCATTTGCCGACCCTGGGAAACAAAAAAGAATCTCATGAAACGTCTATCTGCTCTCTAGCACTTTGATGCATATATTAAAATTTGGGGAAAATCTTAAATTATTTAATATTTTCAAGTATTCATCAACTGCAGTTTTTTTGTTTTTCTGTTTTATGAATCTGTCTTTAAGATTCATGATACCACACATGGAAACAAGAGGACAGTGCAATTTCATTAATATACTCTGTCAAAACAATTTACCGCAGGCTTTAAAGCAGTGGCTGAAAGCACTCATGTAACCAGCAGGTCATTTAATGTGCGCTCCCACTGACAATACACTGTATATAAAATCCAGAAATTCGTGCACTCTGCCTGTGGTATGCAGAAAAATACAGAAATAGTAAAAACATTACTTTATCTCCTTTGGGTCCAGGCTGGCTCGTTGGACCTGGTCGACCCATGAGTCCCTGCAAACAGAATAGCACACTTATTTTATAGTATGAAACAATTAAAGAGATTTTGCATAATTTTAGACCACATGGAGGACGGATTTCTTACCGGGGCCCCTGTTCGACCAGGCACACCTGGTAGCCCTGGTGCTCCTGAAGGCCCCTAGAGGAGACAAAATTAGTTATTATTTTTTAAAATTTACTTCTTACTATCATCAAAAAAATTATTACATTAATATTTTTCTGCATCACTAGTGGCTTCATAATGTAGTGGTTTACACATGTGCAGAAATAGTCTCTGATTTCTGTGCTTACTTCATGGATTTCTGGTAATAACTGTCTGTAGCTCTGAGTTCTGGTTCCTGCCTAGTTCTGAATTTTGATTTGTATTTCACTCCAGTTGCTACTTTCAGTTTGTTAATTGTCTGTTTAGTTCTCTCAGCGTTTCCCAATCTGTTCCTCCTTCTGTCTTTGTCTTCCTGCATTCCCTGAATGAGCTTATTTATGTTTTGTTCATCCGTCTTGTTTCAGTGTCTCCTTGTTACAGCTGTGGCCACAGAGAGCACGAAAACTGGCTTCTGAAGTTCCTCTTTGAAGCTTTCAGATGAACGTTTCTACCATCACCATCTTGGTTGCAAAAAAACAGATGTGACAAGAAGGGGTGGGTCTGACTGTGAAACCGCACACTCACTGGCTAATGACTTGTGATTTATTTTGCTAGCCAATGCACACGTGGTTACATAGTATAGAAAATGTCTCCAATTTGAAACATACATGGCCGAGATTTACAAAATAGACTTAATTTTTTATTTAGTATGAATCAGAATGAGTGAGTGAGCCCATGAACTCAGGAGGAAAGTCTTTCCTGAGGTCAAGATGGAAAAACATTTCTCCATAGACTTCACAAAGTCTTATTTTCAACCACAGCTGGTGGCTTTCACATAGAATGTAGATTTTGGGCACTTCTGCACTGGCTTCATTTTCCTGACCTGGAAGCTCTTTGTGGCTTGTTGTCTGTCGTTTCTCATTCTAATTTTACTTCCTGTTTGTGCCCTAACTAGTCTCACCTGTATTAATTATGTTCAGCTGTGTCCTGTTCCCCACTAGTCTCCAGTTTCCTATCAGTGCTCAGTGTGTGTAGATAGAGCCATTCCTTCAGCCTGTGTATCCTTGTTGTTCCTGGCTCCCTGTGGTTTTCTAGGATCTCTATTAACTCCCAGTTGGATGTAGTTATTGGACTTTTCTGTCAACCTAATAAAAGGCATGCCTTTTATTATTTTGTCTACCTTGGAGTTCTCTGTTTGGATCCTATATTGTACGAACACTATAGTGCTGATGGAGAGTTATGTGGCCATGCTGAAAGTCAGCTGTGCTGCTCCGAGCACATCAAGCATATATTCTTAAAATGTGGATAAATTAAATTATTGGTCATTGTGATGTCACATCTGTTTTGTTAAAATCTATGCTACATTTTAAAGGATGAATTCAAAAGCTTTTCTATACACTGTAATGACTTCTGAGCTTATGCTTGTATTTTCTTTCCTTTAGAGCTTATCTGAGTATGCAGAAGCAGCAGAACATCACATTTTCTACTGTGGGGCACTTCATCATGCGACAACTTTATTAATTTATTTGGCGACTAGGCCCTATAGTGTATTGTTTGCTATATTTTAGAGATGCCATTGCATGCATTTCTTTGATCACTGAAAGAAAAATAAACCTGCTATCTGACCAAAACATGTCTTTTATTGAGCTGTTATAATCTAGTAGCAAGTGTGCCTGCTAGTAAAACTCTTCTGCCATGGCAGTTCAGTGCTGAAAGCTGACCTATGGGAAACTTCTCAGCTGCTTTCAACACTGTCTTTTTTTAAATGAACACACACAAACACGCAGGGCAGGCTTTGTTCTTCATAAAGTAGTTCCTTGGAGAGCAAGAGATAGGGCATAGTGCAAATGCAGCTCTGCGGATAGCTTTTGATAGCTTCTTTTGAAAACAGACTCTGAGAGCAGACAGACTTTAAGATGAGGCCAACATTAGAATATATTTACATCCGTTTGAAAAACCTCTTTCTCAATGTCACGGTGACTTCTGACCTGGTTAGATAACCACTGGATTAATTTGTTTAGATTCAACTTTTTCTTCACTCACCTCATCACCTTTATCGCCTATAGGGCCTGGGAACCCTCTCTCTCCTTTTACTCCCTGCAGGAAAGCAGAAGCAATAAAGTAGGGAAAAGTGAATGTTTTTCACAAGGAAAAAGGGAAGAAAAAAAAACAAACCTTAAACTAAAGTCTGATGGGCATAAATTTCAAAATGCATCTTCCAGCACACAACTTGAAATTGCCTAGCCTATTTCACCATGGTACAAGACTGTATCCATAGCAACAACTTCTGCAGTGAAAACCCAAGTGTGTTCAGAATAATATGAGTTGTGGAACAGCTACTTAGGCTTTCAGGAATAATGCAAAAATAAATTCATGAAAAGCTTTTTTTCAGTGCAAATATTTGTCTAGCAGATTAAATGCACATTTAAGCAAACAATATCATAAAATAAGGCTATATCTTCTACACATTCTTGTCATGCTGATAAAATGGGTTATTCATATAGTAATATCTTTATAAAATCCATTTTTGTTATTTCACAAGTTTTCGTTTGACATCTTCTTGCCTACCTTTGGACCTTCTTTTCCCGGGTTACCCATCGGGCCTCTGACCCCAGGATCTCCCTGTTTGGAAAAGGAGTCCATAATGGATTTGTGTTCAATAGCGCAAGCATGCACTCAAAATATTCATGAAGGAGCACTGAAAGCATGATGTGCAATGCAAATCAAAGTCACATTTTTTTTTGTAAATTGTCTAAATTGTCTGCTATGCTAATGAGTCACTTGTACCTTTTCTCCCACTAAGCCCTCTGCTCCTTGCACTCCGGGGGAGCCTTTTTCTCCCTTCTGTCCAGGCAGCCCTGGGACTCTCGTCTGGCACACACTGCAGGCATTCTACCAGTGCAGGCAAGGCAGGAAGCAAAAGTGGAAGCACAGATAAGATTTCATCAGGCTGAGCTGGAACACTGTATTTTCGCCCTTTATTATGTCACATCCCCTGGGTGGAGGACAAGACCCCAACTGACATAAAGTGTTCTCAAAATGTCCACAGAGCAGAAATAATGTGAACCCACCTAGAGTGCCTCCAAGAGTGTCTCTCACTGAGGTGAGTGGTGAACTTTGTCAAACTCACTGACTGTGACATTTAGGTGAGAACCTAAATATCATTGGACCAACTCCATTGGCACTGCTGCACGTTGTGACTCGGACATACTGTATGTGCAGCAGGATTAGTGAGCTGTTGCAATGCTGTATTTGAGTATTTTAAAACGAGTTTACTCGATCTTGATAAGGACTTTCCAGATATTTTGCTCAAGTGACTTTGAGCAGTGCTGCTTTACAGCTTTTACTAAGACCATTTTTACATGTGGATACTGAATTTTTTTTGCCAGCTACATACTTACGGCGCACATAAAATCTACAATGGCATTTCAGCACTGACCCCAGAAAAATGTATATTGTATCACATCTCATCTCACCGTATCTTATTGCATTACATTGTACTGTACTGCCTTGTATCACATCCAAGCCTAACGAACTGTATCACATCTTATCATATCACAGCATATCGTATCATATTACATCACATCCCACATATTTCATCCTATTGTATTGTATTATATTGTCCATAATGCATCACGTTGCATCCTATTGCATCCTATCATATTACATTGTATCATATTGCATCATATCGCATTGCACTGTATCGCATCTTGATCTATTCTAGATACACTATAGACTCTACTCCTAGCACAGAAAAGAATTAGGAAGTTTAAGTTGGAAAAAGGCAGTAAAAACAAATGCATTTCAAAAATAACAACAACAACAAAATCTCACTAAATTTGAAAAATAAAATGAAAAGCCATCGTTTCAATATTGCCATTTAAGCCTAATCTTCAAAGACTTCAACACAATGGCAAAATAATAAGAGCATGCTGTTACTGACATGAATGAAAAGAAAAACAATACCCGTATTAAATGTGTTTAGCGCTTTTTTTTGAAGGTGTCATTGAGGTGTCAAGAGTACTAATCACAGCGGCGTTACGTGACTCTGATGAAGGCTGTAAACAGTAGATGAATCTAACGGAGCACTTAATGGACAAAATAATTTGACTCTGAAGGAAGAGTTGACAGAAAATAATAAGTCTGCTGACATCTGGCTTTATCTATCAATGATTAATCATGTGAAGGCATTATATTTATTGTCAGAGCTGACGTATGTTAAGCATTAAAAAGAAAAAGCTTTAATTCGTCTAAGTGCTGTCCTGCAGCTAACGACACGTACTAAGGTGACTAATCTACGTCAGTGGGAAAAAAGAAACAAGAATTGCATTTATTTTGACAGAGTGTTCACATTATGAAAGGTAAAAGCTACTAAAGGAGTACTTAATCCCATTTTAACACTGTACTATAATCTCAGGAGATACTGAGGAGTGTCTGGTATTAGGTTTAACTGTGTAGTCCTGGTCCACATTCAGCACTGGTCAGGAAAGGTTGGGATCCTGAGCACTGCTGTAACAAAATATATTTCAATATATGAGGAATATGTTAGAAAAAAGTTTTAAAGTGCTGCCTGTGTCATGGTCCTGCGGCCATGACTCAGTGACTTTGTGTTTATGTTCTTTATTGTTATTACTTTCATTATTATTCTTGGGCTGTTTTGGGATGGTTTGTGTTTGGGATTTTAGACACTGGGTTCTGGGTTTGTGCTCCCTCTATTGGTCCCTGGTGTTAGTGTTCCCCTGTCTCGTCAGGTTAATCAGGTCCAGCTGTTTCCCCCACCTGTGTGTGTGATTTCCCAGTGTCTCTTTGTGTACTTATAGTGTGTGTTTTCCTCTGCTCCTCGTCGCGTCGTCTGTGTTCATACCCGGTGAATTTCCCTGCGTGCTCTCCCTGCTGTTCTCCCTTCATGTTCAGGTTTGCCACTCCTTTGTGTAGTTTCTCCCAGTTTAGTTCGTCCTTAGTTCTGTTTGCCATCTCCACTTTATGTTCAGTATTGTCAATAAATCACCCTTCACGTCTGAAATAGTGCTGCGTTTGAGTCCTCCTTCCACTCTTCACACGGCCGCTGCCCCGAGCCGTGACAGCCTGTCTGCTGATTTTGGGACAAACTTATATAATATGTCCCAAAAGTTAACATTCGTTCAGATTTACATATTGAGGGTTAAGGTTTAAGTAATGTAAAATGTAGAGAAGAGACAATTAAAACGGAGCTAGGGCAGAAGAGAAGTCATTTTGCGTGAGTGTTTTGAGGCTTTTGGATCAAGTGGTGACACATTGTTTGAATGGAGAAGTGCTATTTAGCAATTATTCTTCTGTAAAACTGTATACAATGCATATCTGAAGCCGATCTTATCTTTTGAGACAGTAATCTCTTTATAATCTTGTTTTTCACTTTATTTGCATTGCACTTGTGTGATATTTCAATATTTCATTGTCACACTGAGAGGCTTTACTAAACATGTTGTCACACTGTGCACCTCTGGTGAATGAGTAATCCGGGCTTTCTCGTGAAATTGTTTTCTTTTATTTTCTGGATCTCCTTCTCCCAGTCATCCTGATGAAGGCACTCAAGGGCTTTCTCACAATATCTCTCAAGTGATTGCATCCATGTATTAGTGGGATAGTACTGTTTCAAGCCGGCAAATGCTGTTCAATTTAAATACCAACCCTCACGCTTTTGCATGCAATTGTTCTGTGAAAACAATGCAATTATCATCAACTATGGAGATATAAATACCTTAAGCAAAGCACCCATGTCCCCAAAAATCGGCAGGGCAGTCTGTTAGGAAAAAAGAAGCAAAAAAAACAAAACAAAAAAAACCTTAATTTCAAATCTCATCTCTCTTTATTTTTGAGATTTCTGCAGTTGTTTATTTTTGCTCGACTGCTTCTTTTAATAAAACATCACAAGGCACACAAGACTGACTTACATGCCTGGAATGCGATTTTTTTCCTTGAACATATTTAACAAAGTTTGCTTTAAGTGTTTCATTCTCAGCTTTATCTGGATTGCTTGAGGAAACGGTTTAATAACTTTGTTATTTTGGAAGACATGATCCCAAATCTTCAAAATATTGTTGTTCTCTGAAGCTGAGAAAAAAAAACAACATTTTGATGTGAAGCCCGTGTATTTAAAAAAAAAAACATAAAATGGTATAAATGGCTTTCATGCGTCTTTACCACGCATGAATATAAATGGGCTAAAATGCAAAAATTTCAAGGCTTTGATGCAGCAGCGGTAGGAATGGTGAGGTACTCACACTACAGCTATTAGCACTTTAGTAAATGCTCCTCATTTGAAACTCACAAAGACACAAGAAAGGAATAAAAATATGCTCTAACAACAGGGGGCCGCCAATTTGTTGTAAACTGGAACATTTTCCTGAATGTGGTGTCGGTTGCTGAACACTAGAACTACAGCTACTTATTATCCCAAAACTGCAGCTACAGTCTGAATACTGAGTTTGACTTTAAGGTGATCTCAGTAGGTCTCATGGCTGATCAGTGATGCTGAACCGCTGTAAGCAAAACAGAGATTTTCTTACTTACTGGTTCACCTGGAGGTCCAGCAGGCCCCGGTGGACCTGGCCTACCAGGGGAGCCCTTTAATTGAGACAGAACAAGGAGTTAACAGCACTTCTGGTTACGATATGAAGCACACAGGCAAGGCTATAACTTTCAGCTTTCACACTCTTCTCAGTTGGTGGGGATTTGTGTCCAGGAGCTGTGATACATTGTACTTGTTCATCCACAGTTGGTAGCTGACATTTCTCCATGCTTCTGGCCATCTTTTATCTGTAAACGTGCAAGGGAGTGGAAAACAGTGGAAGGACAGGCTGTCCTAACTCACCTCTCTTCCTGGAGCTCCTGGGGGGCCAAATGGACCCGGGGGTCCACGAGAGCCCTGAAAAATACCAAGATAGAGGCTAGCAGTGTTGCCCTATACAGTCACCCACACTTACTGTTAATAGTGCTGTAACAAAATTGCCAAGAAGAGATCCATGGCTAATTGGACGAACATTTTTAAAAATCGACTTGAACATCTTGTTTGTGTTGTGGATACAGAAAATTTATCGCACACACCTCAATTCCTGGCTCCCCGGTGGGTCCCATGGGGCCCTAAAAACACATCACACATCTTGTTAACACCACCTGCCCTCTAGCACCCAGGATCCAATAAAGGAATTGTGTTAGACACCTTTTGATCTATTGATTCTCTGTCTACAACCCTGTGTTTCAAAAATGAACACAGACTCACTCACTGTCAAATCTGAGTTTCAAACTAGCACCCCAGAGCGTGCATGATGAGGCGAGAGAGCAAGTAATGACCGATGTTTCTAATAAAAACACATCTCCAGTATTCAGAGAGTAGCCCATTCTTTCCACGCCTAAGACAAAAGCAGGAATCTGAAATGTTTCAAGGGTGCCACTAAATAATAAATGGTTTGGTGCTCACTGACCAATCAATACGACATCATACTCACAGGTGGCCCTGTAATGCTCTCCCCAGGTTCGCCCTTTTCACCGTGGTCTCCGGGCAATCCCGGGATGCCTCTTTCACCCTAACACAAACACAAGGGAGTGGTCAGTGATGATTTAATGATGGTGAATCCAGCTAAAGGAAGGGCTGCTGCATTGCTCATTAAGTATTCAAAGACTGCCAGAATCCATTTCCTGTTATCTTGTGCCTCTTTGCTTAAAGGGTAAAGAAAGAAAACATAACCGCGGTGAAGGCCGTTATCATGCAGATTTTAATTATGTCCATCATTTTGCCTACGTATGATACATAAGATACTCAACTGTGCAATTATTTTTCCATGTCAAATCCACTGATATTGATAGTACAAAGTGATCAGAAAAAAGAATGAAATCTCTTTGATATCCAAGCATGTTATGACAATTTCAGTGATATCAGTCATATTAGTGATTTCCAGCTGGTATTAGATGGACTTCAGGAGATATATCTTCATGTTAAAAAAAGTAAATAACATGGAAGATGATGTAGAGCAGTAAAAAAAAGTCTCCAAGAACCTCAAAACTTTATTGTGTAATGTTTAAGTGAAATCCAAAAAAGACCATCAAAGCAAAATTAGTTTGATAATAAACTTCAAGGTAGGTTTGTTGGAATAATGCGCTCAAGGAAATCAGAGAGAATGGTTTAAACGCAATAGACCAGAGGCCAGTTTTAAGGAGAAGCTGTAAAGCAGTGTCCTTGAAGGCAATGTGTTCAAAAAGCTACCTTTCAACAGGATAATAACCTCAAGCATACGGGTAAATTTAGCAAAGAATGGCTCAAAAAGAAGAAAATTAAAGGTTAAAGAAGGGTCTGGCCAAATAACAACTACACACAAGATCCTATCAGAATCTCACTGGAATGCTTATGGAGGGGATTTAACGTGGGCACTGCATGCAAGAGCAACATTTTGCAAATGAGGAAACTTTACATGGAAAGGTGGTCAAGAATTTGAGTGAGGCACAGTACGACCAGGAGGACAATGATGCAAAACACAAAAGTTAAATGGAGCAGCGCTACCGCGTAAAGCCAAGGCTGCACTTACTTTTTCCCACAGAGGAATATTGCACCAATAGATCTGAACAAAGTGTTCAGATAGCCACACAGAGCCCTAAGGTCTCAGCCTAGGATTACATAATGTTACATCATTACAGAACATGACACATGTAGTCGGTGTCAGGTTCTGTAGAACAAAGCAAAGTGTGGACGTTTTCATTCCCGTGACACATTTTCAAGCTCATGCTATCCTGGAATTCGTGCCAGGTAAGCTATTTGTTACAACTTCTTCTTTTTTGTAGTACAATTAAATTTATTTAGCTGAATTGTTTCTTTTTCACTTTTTATTGCTTATTTGGTGATGTTGGAGGACCTACCTTAGGTCCACGAGACCCTCTAGTTAAAGGCAACCCGTCCCCCTGTAAAAACAAAAACAAAACAAAAAAACAAAGAAGACTTTAGAATAGAAATTCACTGCACACTGATCAGCAATTCTCTTTGAGAACTGAGGTAAGGCCCGAGAAGCAGCCCTAGTGCTTTAATTCAAACAGGAGTCTTGAATCAGTATGAGCTACACACATTACAGTGTTGCCTTATGAGCACATGTTCAATACTGCTTACAACAATTTGATTAGTTTCACTGTACAGATGCAAGGTGATAATGCCGTACCACAGAGAGGGTGGGGGGTGGGGGAGAAAACAAAAAACCTTAATTGGAATCGAGGTGCGGGCATTATTTACTGTACCATCCAGATGAGACATTGATTTCTGTGGTCAGCATGTATTTCTGGTGCAAGTCCTATATTGTAAATTAGCTGGGCAGAAGCTGGGTTTGAGCCAACACAGCAGTTCTTACAGTTTTGGGGAGAAATGGACCAGTTCAGTCAAACGTAAAACACTAAAGTTTGGGAAGTACAGAACTTTTGAAACCAAAGAGATCTGATGACATTAGTGGGGCACTTCCACTCTACAGAAACAGAACTTCTCCCTCGGTATGTGAGAGTAGATCATAAATTTATAGAAATTTATATAAACAGCATGTTTAAAGTACAAAGACTTAGCTGGTTATTATTCAGTTGAAGGCAAGCTCAACAAAGTGTGTGACATCTTAGTTCAGTGGTTTATACATTTGCCTAACAAGGAAACGATCGTGGAAGGAGAAACAGATTCCTTTGGGGTTGTGTCAGGAAGGGCACTGAATACAAAAATCTGCCAAATCAAATGTGCGGCGCTACCTGCTGTGGCGACCCCGCATGAATAAAAGTGGCTTTGTCCTTAGCTGCTTGAGCAGGCTAACTCATTAAAGATATGTTTTGTTTATTTCCTTTTCCCTTACCTTTGTCTTATATGATAACGTCCATAAATGCTAAGGACATTTCTTCCTACATCTCCGCACACTAATGGTATTTTCAAAAGACAGAAATATGTCTGCTTTAAATGAAAGCCATTTTTCTTAGTTTAGCTTTTTCACCTATTGCATACAACACTGTGAGAGGTCATTTTCACGTGGTAAACACCCCATCTTGACACCCACAGCCGTGTTTTTCAATCCCTTTCCAATTTTCCCAGTGCAGGAGAATGTTAAGAGGTTTAAATACGTCGGCCTGAACACAATCTTTCCTTTATTACTCTGCTCACGGTACCCATGGCTTGCTTGATCAGTAGGTCTGCTGTTGGGCTTAATGTTCAGATTGGTGTTTCCACACACAAACAAACACGACTGTTTAAAGCTGCAGAAGTCCACAGGTGATTGAGAAGTGCAAGTGCCATCAACCGGGATTGAGGCTGTGGCTGCACATGCACAGCCTCTTTGGGAAAGCTATAATGAACATTTCTATATGCAGAGCCATGTCTATAAAAGAAACTGAACAGCTATGTGCTCCAATTACGAGGATAGGTGATTATCCAGGATGGGGATATGTGATGGTGGACTATCTAATGATATTGCTACTTCATAACATCATTGCATCTGCGCTGCTGGAGGACCTAGTTTCTTTAACTTGCCTGCTGCTACTCTAGCTGTTTGCAGGTGATCTGCATTTCTGAAAGTCTCCTGTGTTTCCATCTGCTGTTTTATTGGACTGCATTAATAGTTTTTAATGCTGTATCCTGTGTCTTCAGAGCTGAACCCAACAAGGTGAGGTTACTGTCTACATTTGATATAATACCCACCATATATCCACCCACAGGTTCGCCAGGCTCACCCTTAGGACCTGGAGGTCCTGGTGGGCCGATCATTCCACCAGAGTCCCCCTACAGACAGAAAGACAGATGCTATTTAGAAATTTCTCCATAAAAAAACATTAAACCAGCCCTGTCTTCTTAACAAGCCAAAGAAAGTGCAGTGTTAGTTAGACACAGTGAGGTGAAAAAAAGGGTGAGAAGATGCAAGGATGCACATGTGAACGATGTCAACACCAGCGCATCATGTTAGTGGGAGAACCTTTTGTTTTGCATATTTGTCACACTCACATGTTTTAAATCATCAAAAAAAAACCCTATCCAAACCCACCTGACCCTATGTGAAAAAAACAACTGCTCCCCTTGTTAAATCACTTCCACAACCATGTTTGACTGTTGCTATGGTGATCTTTTTATGAAATGGCATGTTTATTTTATGGCAGATGCAAAGGGACTGAAAGCTTTGAAAAATTTCAGAGAATGATTTTCCTCTTAAATTTTAGGGATCATCAAGATGTTTATTTCTTTTTGGTCAGCAGTTTTCTCCCTGGATCTCTCCCACAGATGCCATTTTTTTCCTGGGCTCTGTCTTATTGTTGAAACAGGAAGTTTGACCTTAACTGAGTGAGTTACTTTGTTCCTCATCTGTTCTTTGCTATGCCTTTGCTATCAACCTCAACAGTGCTTTATTGATACTTATCAATTTTTAGCATGGTGGTAATGACTAGCTGCTACAAATGAGCATGTCAGCATTGTTGGGTAAAGACTGCCACCATGCTTAGCATTCATATAGCTGTTCTTTTCCTTTTTTGCTTGTTTTTGGAAAATACTGCTTGAAAAATAAATGAAAGAATTGTAGCATTTTATTGTTTTGTCAATAATATTAGCAGCTATTACTGCTCAAGAGACAGTCTTCCACAGTAAAGTCCCATTTTAAAAAAGTCATGATTGCTTGATTGATTAAGCTGACAATATACTATATTTACTAGTTATCTTTAAAGTTCCTAATAAGAATATACATATATATGTATGTATAAACATTGTTAATTGCTGCATCTGCTAACATTTTTTACTCTATGCTACGCTAACTGCCTTCTACCCCCAGCCTCATATTTAAGCCACAGACGCTGCTTATTTTTTTCTCCTATTTATTCATAGAGCGCCACACGAATGAAGTGCCTCTTAGATTGGAGTCAGTATAGCAAATTTGACAAAGGAGGATTATACAATGGAAAAAACGAGGCTTAAGCATTTTATGTGAATGAATATAGGAGGCTTAAGCACTCTAGGTCTATTTCTCTGCTCTGGAGAATAACAGAGTGACTCTGGTGGGTGGGGAGAATTGAGTGCATCTTCATTCTTTCTGACAAGTAACAAACCCCATCAAATATGCATGTCAGCTGCACACTTTTCCACTTTTCTAGTTTGCCACTTTCAGCAAAGTGTTTGGAATATAACTGCAAGAAGAAGAAAAAAACATTTGTGTGCAAAAACAGAGGAGTGAGAGGCACCGGAGACAGGAACACAAAGTTACACAATGACTGAGGATTGGACAAAGGGCAAGTAATCTAAAAGGCATCTTTGCAAGTTGTCTGGCATGTTGAACCTGTAATAAAACATCATAGCTTCATTTTTCTTTGCTTTCAGGTGAGGACTTGATTTGAAGTTTACCTACCTTTTCTCCTTTCAGTCCATCGTTCCCAGGTACCCCTGGCTCCCCTGGTGTGCCCTGTAAATAGTGGTGAAAAGAGACACATCTATCACCAGGCCTTCATCTTCTCACACACATTTATCTCCTCCTCCTCACTGCTTCAGCAGGCTGCTGTGTTCCAACATAATTTCCCTTAGCCAGGATTTATGAAATGCCTCTTTTCCCTCCCTGCTTTTGAATAAAGACAGATGCTCATTACCGAAGCAGGTGTGGAGAACAGATTGGGCCTCTGCCTCCGTTCCCGGCATAAAGCGCTTAGATTTGCCTCTTTCCACTAATTAATTCTTAAATTTGATTACTGATCGTCTGTGTAAAAATTCTGGACTTTTCTCCCCTACTTCTTCTCTATCTCTGCCTGCTGAGGTTTATCTATTTATCTCTCTATTTGGCTGGCGGCGTTAAGAAAGAGGACGATACGGCAAGGTGACAGATAAGGCGATGAGAAAAAGGAAGACTTGACATGAAGTGCTGGTGTTTATGATGCCAGAACACTTACTGGCTTGCCCGGGAGTCCTGGGGCTCCAGTGGATCCAGGAGGGCCTTGCTTCCCCTGGAAAAACACAAAGGAAAACCAACACTATGGATATTCGATTCTCTTTGTTTGGTTATAGATATGATTTCTGGGCTTTGGGTGTTCTTGCCCAGCCCAGCTACAATGCAAACACTGACTTTCCAAAGAATTTCATGAAACGTTGCCTGAGCAGCAGTATATTTGCATGCATGCGGTATTTCAAGTTAAAGCGACGCTGTTATTCTGTAAAAGCTTCTCATATTCACTTCCATTTTGAACTGTATTGTTTTTATATGTGAGGATGATCTAAATGATTCATATGTTACCATGGAAACTGAATTTTTACTGTATCTTGGCTTTTATCTCACAGTACATCTTTTACAGTAGCACTGAGACAGAGTCTTCTTAATTAACACTTGATATCATCATGAGCATTATTCAAAAGACTACATTTACAAAACAGGCTTAGAAACACCAAAACTGCAGATTTAGAGTTATTTAATTTGGACTGAACTCTGAATTTCAGTGCATTTTACTTTATTTTCCTTCCATCAATGACCAAAACCTCAGCAGCTCTTGTTATTCTGCTCCTCGGTCAAAGCTATAATGGCCTTTCATGCCTATACGTGTATCATTTTACCTTGTATTTAGCACATTTTTAGACTTCAAAGTTTGACCTACTCTAAATGGCACAGCACCCCAGAGATAAACACAAAGCCTCACCTCTGGTCCTTGATCTCCCTTTAGTCCTGGTGGCCCCATGTTTCCCTGTTAAATCACCAAAAAGGGTGAATAAGACGCACACGGGAGGCAGGAAACTGCAGGAAAAACATCTTGACCTCTGTGCTTTGTCATACAGCGCTGAGAGAAAAACTACATAGATTTGATTTCTTTCTGAGTTCAGTGTTTAGCAGAACTTTTGTGTGCTCCATGAATGTTTTGGAGTATTTGGTGAAACCTAAACAACAGAAAGAAACTTTGTGCAGCACGGTACCCTCCGGTAACAGCTCAATAACATCACTGGACTTCGTAGGGTTACTGCCAACCTACCAAATATACACCGAAGAAAGGATCCCTTCTAAAAAAAATAGAATCCGACAGAGAAATCAGTAATACCCTGCTGCGACTACTGGTGTACAAACACTGTGGAGCTTGTGTGGAGAGTTACAGAGAGTACTACGTTGGACAGGAAGGAATTTTGTAGCCTTATTTTCTTGGCAGTAGATACTCAAGTTTTAGTGCAAAGGTTAAGTCTTTGATAAGTCACCTTGAAGCCTTGCGGTCCTTGAGCGCCTCTCTCCCCCTGCAGAAAGTAAAGGAAACAGAAAAACATCCGTTCTCAAGATGTGTATAAAGATCCAAGCCATTTCTCTGGCTGACTGTGGTTAAGGTTTAAAAAAAAAGTCTTCAAGGACTTTCGTGAAGTTAGCATATGATGTGAAGGTTAAAACACAGAATATTTCCTTTGCCAAGTTAGCTTTTTTCTTGCACTGAGAATGTGAATATAATAAAATCAGCAGCTGTTGAGAAAAAAAATGAGTGTGTGAAATTTTTCTCTTGGCTTCATACCACACTACATTTTTTTAAAAATGTTTGCACTGTTCTTCTGGCTTTTTCAACAAAGAAACACCAAAATATGATTAATGTGGCAATTCTCAGCTTTAATTTGACTCCGACTATGATGTGTCGCTGTTATGACACAAACACGGTGCTCAGTGTTTACGGGTTGATTAGTAGGGGGCTGATATACTCAGTGACCGGCTGCAGTCTCCAGGCCTTCCCTATACTTCCACTTTCCTCTTTGAGTGGTCTCTCTGCTGATAGTCTGCTATCCAGTCTGTTCTTCAGCAAGCAGATTGCATCCTCAATCACACTTAGATTAGAGTATTTGACTCAGTCACTTGAGGATAGTCCCACTCTTCACCTTGAAAAGCTCTCTCTAACTTTATGTTTAGGATGTTTTTTCTGAATATTACCACACATAATGCTCCTGTACGCACTGTCACTTCAGAACTGCTACAATGCTTTACACATGAGGTCACATGACCTTTGGTTTTTGAGCTATTCCTTTTTTCTCCCCACTACATTCTCCTCTTTGTAACATTTGATTGAGGTTAATTTTGTGTCATTTTGTGTCATTGCAGAAAATTGTTCCACAGCACTCGTAGCTTCCTATTGTTCTTTTTTTGGTCTGGTTTTTTTTGTAAATTGCACGCTTTTCTCTCCTATTTGCAGGGTTACCATGGTTTTGCATCCTGTTTTGAATCCTCTGAGGTCATGCTGTCTTAATCACTGACAGGGACACATGTATGCTGACACACAGAAAACATTTCTCACTTGCCGTGCAGTTACAAATGGGCTTTTTTTTTTTTTTTTTTTACACACCACAAAAATATTTTTCCCAGCCATCAACGATATTTGTGTACCAGTTATTTTCCCACTTTGTGCTGCTTCACGGCAAACAACCTCTGACGCCTCTCTGACTCTGGATCTCCTTCATGTGAATGATGACCTCTTTATGCCTCAATCTGACAGGCAGCTCCACTCTTCCGCTCTTCTGGGCGTGTCCACTTACTTTTGAACCCTTCCATTTCAAATATTTCACATGTGATTCTTTCAGCATTGACATAAATATACTTTAATTAAGGCAGAGACTTGACACTTTATTATAGATTTTCTAAAACTTGATGCACTGACAAAGACAGTCTGATTCTGCATCTCTGCTTGTGATTTGTTTTTTTCTCTTTTCATTCAGCTGACTGTCTTTTGATGTTTTGGCCAATAGCTGCGTCAGTGGCCTTTTGTAATCTGCTTGCTTCCAGTAGATGCGTCTGTTGTTTTGAGGTCCAAACAATAATTGCATGCCAATTTATTCAGCGGCTCACCTTGTGCTTCTTTACAAAGCGCAAGGATGAAATTCAACTCAGAAACTGCACAGTAGGTGAAGTCCCATTGTTCTTTCAAAAATCAAATGTCAGTCCCGCTTTTGTTGACGCTACGTAAGAAATTGGTGTTTTTCACACTGTGGTGTTGGAGGCAATGTCTGAGACCTAATGCTTAGTTTCCTGTTGTTAAATTGTCTTAATAATGACAGAAAATCTCACCTCATCTCCTTTTTCTCCTTTTAGGGCTCTTTCCTTCATTTCGTCCTTAAAAAGGAAAAGAAAAGAAAACAGAAAAGAACAGGAGAAAGCAGATGACTTTAAAATTTGACTGTACCGTACTTTGTGTGCAGTGTGAACAAGGAGCTTGAGGAAATAAGACACTACATAAACATTTCATGTTCGGTGACATAAACAGCTGCTTACAGTTCCAGAAAGCTGTCTTAATCCATGTGCTGTCATCACCTAGGAGTAACGAAAAAGACACAGTGTTCTCTAAAAAGTTCATTGATCTCACAATTAGTGCAAGTGAAAACTGAAATAAATAAATAAAAGGAAACAAAGTGATTTGAGCTACTGAATATTTTAAGAATGCATGAGTGGCAGCTCCTATTTAATTCACAATTGGCTCTCTTGCCACCGGTCTGAACCCAGGTTAGATAAGAAAAGATTAAATCTGTATTTTTCCTTTCTCTTTCGCGGTATACTTTCAATACAGCTCAGAGATGGGGTGACAGTGCAGCTGGGCAGAGCCTGCTACAACAAAATTAACGAAAGGCACGAGGTCAAGACCACTCGATGCACCGAAATTAAAGTCGCAAATCAAAGTGTTTGTACGGAGCTCCTAAGTTTCATATTGTCGCTTAGACCCGCCATTAACGCACTCCCCATCTAATCAGATTATAGTTTGAAATGAAAGTGCACGTGTCGATACACCTGTGAGCGAACTGGCTAAACTGCTGACAAATTGAAAACGAGTAAACATGCAAAAGTGTGACTCCACAAAATCCTTCGCTTTGGAAAAATAAAGATGTTTTCCATAAAATCCAGTTTCACAAAAGACCACAATTGCCTTTGAGAGCATGCACACGCCGGGTAGAGGTGGCGCGGTTCAGCCGGCGATGATACGAGCGATTGTTTCAGTTGGATTGCTCACAATCACATTTCAGTGCTGACACTGGAGACATTTACTGAAGGCAGACCTATCTGTGCAGATGCAGATACAATCTGGATATGAGCTTCACCACAGAAATGTTGGTATAAAGTGGACAAAAGGTTTTTAAGTGGATCTGATGTTTCAGGCCTAGTGCATCTATCTGCAATCATCAGAACTCATTATATCTGAATGTCCTAAGGCCTCTTGTGTTAACCATGTGTTTTGTGCCTGTGTGCAGTTATAACCTGGTCATTCTTGCAAGATTTAATGATATCAGAAGCAAGAGGAAACAGGAGCAATCTGGGGACTAAAAGCCATATCTGTGGGAGATATCTGCATGTGCCTACAGCTGACATCATTTTCATTAGTAACCGGACTGTTTCTCATTTAACTTTGATCCTTTTTTTCCTCTCTATCCAGCTGTTACAGCTGTTCTTATTTCCTTACTAAATGCGTCTCTAAGCCTTTTGGAAATTTTGTTGCAAAGAGGCTACATACCCTGGGGTGCTTTCTCTTCCTTTAGCAACAATAGTCAAACTAAGATTTGACAAAGATACTGAAACCTCGAACGCATCCCTGCGCAATCAGTCAACCTTCAACTTGCATATTCTCAATGTCTTTACTCATTGTCATCAACATGTGACTCAATTTCTGTCCAAATTTGGCATAACAGATAACCTGGCATAACAGATTCAGTTTAATAGATTATAAGCTCTATTTTAAAGGCGGGGACAATAAAAAACAGCACAGTCTCAGAGCTAAAAAGACTGTTTTGCCACTTTAAGGACATTGGGGGAAGTGATGACCATGCATGCCTGTAAGCGCACTGCTCCTCCCTGTCACTAATAAACACAGGCACAAGAAGGTTTATGAAGGGAGGGTAATGATCTGAACCCTCGCTTCTGCTGTGTAAGGGAAATCAATGTTTAACTGCCAAAATTATCTGCCACGGGAAAGCAGAGAGCACAGACAGAGCCTGGTACTAAATATTCAAATAGCCTCATTTATCAAATGACTAATGTTTTCCTCTCTGCCGTGTGCTCTAGTACACATCTCATATATCCTGGGTGGCCCACACCTCACTACACAACAATGAACACAATTTCTATTTCTGTTTCGATAGAAAAAGTCTTAATCCACGAGTAGAAACGAAATTCAAACAAATAAACAAAACGACACTTGCATTGACGTACATTTTTATCAAATTACATTTTTGTTGGGTACACAGAAACCAGTGAAACCAGCAGAAATTGAGTGATATTTGTTCACTCTATAATTAAGTTGTCTAATTTCCTTATGAATCATTTGCTAACGAGCAATGAAAGTGAGAATGAGAATCAAAGCCATCAAACTTTGTTTCCAAGCTCATGTCTAAAGCCTTCAGAAGTTCAATAGGAAGCAGATCTTTAGAACAAAACCCATTAGGGCCGAGTCCTCTAAATGTCAAAGTCTTTTAAGACACAAAGACTTTGAGACTGTTTTCATTTGATACTTTTTTATCCTTTTTTCTTTCTTTCCTTTAAAAAAAAGGCTACAAATAGTTGCTGCCTCCCTTTGGAGTCATTACTGCCGCCTCAGAGATCTTTACCTGATTCGTCACAGTGTATTTTTGTCTTTAAAATGTCTAAGTAATGAGTTCTATCATGCCAGCGCCACCCACTCTGTGTCACCTTCAGCATATGTCAGACATCCACTGTGACGTCAGTGTTTCTGTTTCTGATCTGCCTTTCAGCTGAAACTGTCGCGCAAATGGGAAAAAAAGTAAGATCGGGGCTTGTAATGGTTTGTAATTCTGTAATTTAAAATTATGAGCACCACGAGCGGGCCGTGTACCGCGTGACCCCCATTACTTCACACGACAAAGACTCCCAGGCGAAGGATTTTAACATCTGATGAGTGCAAATGCGTTCTGTGGATGCCAGACACACAAAAAGTCACAGTTCGTAGCTTTTCAGCGCCGTGAAAGCTATTCCGTGCACAATTCCCAGATATGCATGTGGTTTATAGTTCTCAGGGAGCTGCCAATTATCAGTGAATTCATTATCTGAAAAAAGGAGGGAGCTATTTCCAGAGAAATTCAACATGACTAATCTCATCTGCCTTAAAAAGGCTGCCCATGTTTGGTGCCCTTTATCAACACTGATCCCCTGCTCATATTAAAAAAAAAAAAAGAAAGACAGAAAGAAAGAACGAAAAAGTATATATTTAATGATAGAACAGAGCTGGAGGACTGTCAAAGAAAGGAAATTGGTTACAAGATGACATGCCACCATGGTCGAGGCGTGACTGCAAAGGTAAACACTGCACCGCTCTTTATTTCTTCTCCTCGGTTCCCAAATTCTATTACGAGCAGCTCGCTGACGTACAAACATCGGACATATTTTTGTGTTCGTCACAAAAAAAAAGTACAAACAAATGCTTTCGTGACTCATCCAGCATGGTGTGTTGTCTCTCAGGATGAAACCTAAGAATGCCATTTCATGCCAACTCATAGTAAAGACTATTTCTGTGAGGCGGGGTTGCATAGATTTACTTACAGGACCGGGAGGACCAGGAGGGCCGACATCACCCTGAAAATCCAACAGAAACATTGTATCAGTGGCTGCTTATGACGGTGACAGAGCGACAAGCTGGCAGTGACAAAAAAGAAGGAACATAAAAAAGCACTTGAGAAACCAGTGCTGAAAGCAAGCTGCCACAGGTTACCTGGAACAACTACATCAATAGGTTTAAGAGCAACAGTTAAGAAAGCAATAACATGAGCAGTCTTTAGTGAAAACACTGCCACAGCCAAAAGACGAGCAGAAACAAAACATAATTCTCCTTAAAGAGCGTGCTGGGATACCGCCTCTCAGGTGTCTCACACAGAATGCTAATTAACGTTGTGTATGTCCATACCATGTAACCTATGAGCATTGTAATGGGCTTATTAAGTGCCCCGGGGAACCTTTCAATTTGGCAAAGCACGTGGGAGCGTCAGTTCTTTCATTTGCAATTTACAAACTGCAATTTTTGTGGTTGTAATAGAGCAAAAAAACCCCAAACAAACACATGTTGTACCTTACCACTTTTTAACAGAAAAAGGTTTCCAGCGATTTAAATGTCAGTTTAAAAATACCCACATATTACAAGTTAAAAAAAGTCACACAACTCATTTGTGGCACGGCTCTTGGGATGTCAATGTCAGTAAGTCCATCGCTTTGGTCCAGAGAGAAATACCCCTGTTTGATGGATTGCTATGAAATTGCACAGAGGTATGCATTGTTCCCCGATGATGAATCTGGCTGACTTTTGGACTGTAAGACTTCGAGAAATATGGTTCACATTTCCATGCTGCCCGTGCCATATATCAAAAGACTCTGGTCATCCTTTAACTGTTCCTCTTGGAATACAAGCAAATGTTTGACTTTTAGTGCAATAGCTTGACAGCACTGGGATGGACAGCCATACAGTTGGCCACATAGTACCAAGTTTTCCTCTATTGTCATGAACAGCTCATGTTTGCTTCTTCTCCTACTAAAAAAATTGTGTCTAACATTTGTCCTTAGACCTTTTGAGCATCGTTTTAGTTAGTTGGATGCCCATTCACAGTCCCAAAGGAGCAGGGGATCAAACTGCCAATACAGCCTACTGAGGCCAGGCTGCACCTCTGACAGAAATACCCCCACCTGTATGAACTGCTGTGGAAATTTTGAGTGCGATAAACCTAATCGAGGAGTTTAATCGTTTTGGTGATTCAACAGCTCATCATCTGGCACCATCAGCATCAGACCAAAACTTCAATTTTCCCAGCTATCTAAAATAATATGCAGAACACAGCCAGAATTATACATACTCGGGATCAACGTGACAGCACTGATATAATGGAAATGTCAGCAATTCAGCTCCAGCCTCACACCTCTGCAGGTATGACTGCTTTAGAAACAAACGCAATCAACTGAACTCCACATACATCTATTCAAAATCAAGTTTTGCATGCATTATAAGCTGTGCGTACCTCTCAGTGCCTACCTATTGAAATGACAGAATGCAATCATTTTGAATGTATGTAAAGGAATTGGAAAATAGGGCAACGCGGTAAAATAATTTGTTGCGTATTTGTTAAGTTCTTACAGTTTAAAAGTCAGGAGCTACTGTAAAAATATGTAAATTGCTCTGTCTGCTTGAACAATAATACTTCATTCTTCTTTAGACCTAACTTCCTGCTTAGTGACACATAAAGAGGCACACTGAGATAGATAATTAAAGAAAATACCGTACAGACGCCACTGAGAACTCTGGTCCTGGTTTGTTTGTCTTTACCGCAAGAGATTTCTTCTGCAAATTATTGCTCTGACTCTATTATATTAACACGTAGAAAACACAAAAATACACACATACACACTCTCACGCATACACACAACCTGTCAGTAATGAGAAAATGAGCTGGACCATGCTTAGAGGAGCAAATGATACAAACAATTGCAAATGTAAAAAACAAACACGCACAACAAATCGTCGGCAGCTTCATTATTTGTTGGCAGATGATTTTAAAGATCACTGGAGGATAAACGGACTCGAAGAAGAAGAAGACGACTAACTCAGGAGGTTTAGCCTCAGAGTCTCAGGGAGCAGAAACAGAGGGAATCATCATATTTGCCACTTGACATTGATGTGACTTACTTTTTGTCCTTTCATGCCGCCGGATCCCTCGGCACCTGGCTGACCCTGTGGGAGAGGGAGGGAAGCCTCGGTTAATGACTCTGTAACGCAGCGGCATTGTAAATGTCAGTGCAGGAAAATACGTACAGGATCTCCTCTTTCTCCTTTCTCCCCCTTTTCCCCCAGGACTCCAGGCTCCCCCTTCTCCCCCTATATGAACAGAGCAGATCTCTGACAGTGACTGACAGCCAAAGCAGGACGAAAAGACACAAAGACACAAAGCTCTGAGAGTGAAACTTAGGTAAGGACAGTTGCTATGAATAAGTAATCAGAAAAAAAAAAAAATTCAGTACCGTGTCATCTCAAAATCAAAAGAGTTTGTAATTATGGAAGGGGCCAAAAGAAACACAGTGGCACAAGCTTCATGAGCCTGTGGCGTTATGTTAGACTTGCAGGATAATGAAAAACTTAATTCCCTGTTGCACTGCAGCACTTTCATGATGCCGTTCCCCTGCCTGCCAATAGATGGCACTTCATGACTGCCAGTGAGATGCCCTTGAAGTGTTTTGACAGGATTTTTTTCTGTCAGTTATGTGGCGAATATACTAAATAAACAGAACTCTAAGACAAATGTGCTCCATCCTTGGTCAAGACAGATAGTTAATGAATAATTTGTGATAAATATATATATATTTTTTGCAATCGTATACACATAGGAACTAGCTTTCTCACAATCTGCATACATTCAGCACCTACTTATGACCTTTATTGCTTATATTTTTTGTCATGCAAAGTCTTGGAGTCTTGGCTACATTTAGAAAGTGTGGCAAATATGTTGTCCGTGGCACATGTGTAAAGATTTGTAGGGAGTGCTTCACATACTCTGTGCAAAGACATTATGGAACATCTGTTTACCAATATAATATGACAAAAAGACATCTGAGAAAGTTTGCAGCACATTTGTACGCTCACTAACAGAGCCTGGACGCTAACAGACAATAATTGTCATTCAGTCCCTTCGACTTGCTAATGACAGCCGTGGTATATTCATTTAATGAGACATAGTCAGTGTTTCCTCATCCGAATTAGGAGCTGTTATTAAGTCAGCAGTGGCTGCAATGTATGAACAGATGGATTGTCTTATTAATATTTTAGTCGGGGAGGAGGAACAAGTGGCAAAACTGACTTTGAGCACTAATTTTTTGCAGCTTTATCAACTATGTGGAAACTCACCACACTACTGCGGAGACGTAAGCAAATCAACTATATGAACGTTGGGAGGCTGTAAAGTAGGCCGCCAACCCACCATGCTGCACACAGAATTGTGGAAGTAGTTAACGGGTGAGTTATGACTGACATTCAGCGTAACACACAAGATGGAAAACTATTGTTATCCGAGTTGTCACTTGTACACTGTAATCTGGCGCAGACTCATGGCAAAAAAGAAAAAAAATTCTATCTTTATCTTTGTTTGATCTCCACGGAAGATTATTCAAAGTCAATTTACTGGCAGAGGTGTATGTAACAAGTTAATAAACCTTTCAAACGAGATTAACTGCGCCACAGCCAATATTTATGTAGATTATGACTGTATTTATACGAAGAGAAAGCCCACCGTGTATAAGACAGGGAAGCGCTCCACCTGTGGGTGTCTGCGGGTGATATGTTGCCTCTGAGAAACCTTGACTCATCAAACTGCAATTAAGCCTGTCTTGCATCCCTCTATCCATCAATATCTGCAGCATTCTGTCAGAGCCCATTTGAGACTGTCAGTGGGAGATGCAGTTATGGAGATGTAATTCATGAGAACACCGTCTTCCCAGCACATCATCCACTGCAGACCTTTTTTTTTGTCTCCTTTAAAACATTCACCCGCTGTTGAGTGAGTGAGCGAGCGAGTGAGAGGGGGCTCAGCTCACACAGATGTTGCACAAGCTGCAGTTTAGTCTAACTTGCGTCTATTTTGTCCAAGTTAAAAAATGCACAAGGATGGCACTGAGAGGTACGGAGAATCCCGGCGCTGTTCAATTATTGCTGCTCGTGAAAACTGTTACTTTTCATTCCTCTTGGAGGTGCGAGGGCTTATCTGCTCTCGCGTATCGTCCCCGGTTTGCTTAAATTCCTTTAAATGCATTACAGTTCTGTTTTTCATTATGGAAGATTAAAACGTGCAGTGATTCTCTGGGACACAAGTTTCCTTGTCAGCCACAGAAAGCATAAATTTATAATGATAAAGTGAAGACGTATCCGTGATGTAGGGGCATGACTGATTTATGGCAAGGGCGAGGCTGGCATGCACATTTAATGGAAGAATTAGAGCACGGGAACAATAGTGCTTAGCAGCGTATGTCTCATCTAACATCTACATAAGCATTAAAATGAATGCTTTAATCATGTCCTTTAATCAAAATGTTACGTTTAATCTAATCGCAAACGTAGCTTTAGTCTCCTACGAGCGTTGTCCCCTTCAGGCGTAACGCTACATTTAATAAGAATTCATTTTAATGTTTTAAGTCAGAGCAGGCCTGCAGGTCTACTTTCTCAAGCACTTGTAAACTTGTAGCACACGCCATAAACCCAAAAGCTCAAAATTAAGCAGATTAAGTTCATATTTACGTTCATATTTGCTCATACTAAAGGAGGAAGGTGAGCAAAAGGATGGAGCTAGGCCTGTTTTAAAATCAAAAATGCTCTGTGTTGAGTTATAACTTGCTCCAGTTGTTTCTGTTACCTTTGTGTCAGATTAGCAAAGGTGTGACACCATAAGTGAAGTGATATGTTGGGAGTAATGCTCTGCTGGGTGTGAAAATAAAGACCTGTTTGTCTCCATTGAGGTTTTGCTAGATTAAAAATAATGCTTATTCTGTTACAGTGTGATGCTGCTTAAGTCTGCGTACAAAAATTGGAAGGACGCAAATAAATACCTGGTTAAGGTAACACGGGTGTCTGTAAGTCAACTTATAATACCTGACAACTGAAGAGACGAGTCAAAAATAAGTTACGTTTTCCTTGTCAGCACCAATGGAAACATTTGACTTAAAAGTCTAGAGTCAGATAATCAGGACAGAATACTGTTTATTTTCTCTGCCTGAATCTGTTCTACAATAATTATTTGTTACTGTTTTTTGGTTTTAGCGAGTCTTATTCTTCTCTGTGTTCAAACTTTTTAACAAAGGGTCTCATTAAAGAGAAGCAGCATTTGAAAATTAAAAAAGAAAATTCCAAGACAACAATCACAGGGTTATTTTCATTTCTGACAAATAAAATTTGGACTTCTATGGATTCATTTTATGATTCAAGTATAAACACTAAAGCTGCAACTGAGCAGTCGGTTGGTCAAACATGAAAACGCCTGTCAGTTGAGTCACACGACCCCAATAGGCGCTCCACCTCCATCTGTATCTACTGCAATCCCATTTGTTTTGAAGTATAATAACTGTGTCCTCATATAGACAACTTTCTTTTTCAAGGTTGGCCAGCAGACACTTCTCCTTCCTCTGGGCAGAGGGAGCAGGAGGTTTTCTGCGGCCCAAGCTGACACCACCGCAAAACCATACACCTATACATCAAATGAACAGCTGCGGTCAAGAGGGTGTCCACTACACAATGGCTTTCACTCTCAGCATGATCACAAGTAGGCCACTGGAGGCTTGGCGGGTGGTGGTGGTTATTTTTTATTTTTTTTGAAGGAAGCAGGTTACAAGAAAGACAACGGGAGGTCTGGTACAACTTTTTTTCCCTTTACACTGCGTATGTCATGCAGCCTCTGGTGAGCTACAGCACCCCTGGGCTTCATGAAAATGATTGCAGGCCCTGTTTTTTTTTGTTTTTTTGCAAAAGCACTGTATGTAATGACCATCTGTCTGTTTGGAGTGTGAGCAGTGAGTCATGCTGGGTTGCACTGCAGGAGATGCAGGGTGGGAACAGCTATTTAACTTGCACAGTAGATAGTGTACAATTGACTGAAAGGTGCCACCTCTGAAGACGGATATCTGCTCTCGACTATAAACACACACACAAAAGTCAGTCAAGGGCAGAGCAGACTCTACTTCAGGTGGCACATACGTCAGACTTGTCCAGATGAGTTTCTTGGGACAACAACTTTGGCACATCTTTATACAGACAACACTTTGCAGATGATTGAACTCCTTGGCTATTCGGGAGGCTGCTACAGTGAACACTGCTCAGTCATCTTGGCAATTCACACGTGCTGGAAGTGAAGGTAAGGGCCAGTTTATCAAAAGCAGGAGACACCTCGAATCTACTTTAAACGCCGCTTGTCAGTATTTGTTTTGTAGTGAAAAATGTTTGGGTAATACCTTGGCACTTGCTCCTTCGGCGGCTCCTGCGGGACCCTGTGAAATAAGAAGACAATTATATGAAAACTCATGCGAGCGCCGCACATGTTATTCATCACAAATACATAACAATCGTAACCCTATCCTGACCCTTATGAAGATATAAATTATTCCTGCAAATATCCCTGTGACTGGCTTTTCCATATATTATATATTTTTTTAACCTTTGCACTGATGTTGCCTTTCATAAAGACATGGCCGGATCCCTCTAGTCGGCAGCTAATCTTTGAGTGCGTCTTTGTTATGCGCCTTTCACAGGCTCCCCTGTTGTCGTCAAATGCTAATTTGACTTTGAAAAATAACCGCTGCCTCCTCAACTGCGCACACACGTCCTGCTGCCAATGGACAAGAGAGAGTGATGCCCTGGAGTGTGTTTTGAATAGATGATTTTGCCCCTGAGATCTACCTCAGCAAAACAGGTGACTCATAAATGCCAATACCGGGGGACGGAGGCAAATCTGGCACATGCGAAGGGTATCATCAGGACATTGCCATTTAGAAATGTCACACCTTCTCCATCCTGCCTTTCTTTTCTCCTATGACTTTGTGTTCCACAACTTTACGAGTTATTAAAGAGAAAAAAAGGAAGAAGCAGGGGCTAAAATGAGTCACACGTGGGAGACACTGTTTAACAGTGAGTGGCTCAATTATAATGAAGATAATTGAACCTGGGCACCGGTAACAGACGCAGCACAGAATCTCTCTTGATTTGTGGATGGAATAAAATAAGCCAAACCCTATGTCTCTGATCACGAGTGTAATCAAGACAATCGTGCATGAAAATAATTGGACACCCAAAACATCAGAGTTACACAATCCCCAAACACTCCTGTTTGTCCTGGCGTCAGAGCAGTTAAACATCTGACAAGTTGTCTCCTTTAACGCATCACAGTGTTTGTGACCTTTAGTGTGTGGGTCACTACACAAACACACAAATGGCGTCTGGAATTGGCTCGGTTGCCTAAGGAAAAGACCATATTTCAAGGAGTCAATGGGCCCTCTAGGCAGACTTGTCCTACTTGTCAATACAAACATTTTAAAGTGCTACCTTAATATACCCTTTGTGGTTTGGTGCCGATAATGTAGCCTGTTTGTAGCAGTATGGGAGAAGATTTTGAGCAAATCAATAAAGCACGAGAAAGCATGAAATTAGTTAACATAGAACAATGTTGGTGTAATTGCTCTTTTTCGGGGCAGATTTTGTATTCTGCAGCGCTGGCCTTATTGACTGTTTGCTTTAATATGTTTTTGTAGTTGTAATAAATTTGTAACTTCTTTAATGTGTCTGAATTTATTTGGATATCAGTAAAAAAAAACAACCCTTTTTGTGATCTCAGGAGAATTCCCGGTCTAATAAAGGTTGAGCCGAACTCTGTTTTCACTGCTGGTAATTGGGTGTTATAGGCAGACAGAGTAGATGTGCAAACCAAACAAATGATCTATTAAGCTGAAACGAATGCATTTGGATATTTTCGATAGCACTATAGATCTTGACCTTCTATGTAAAATCAAAAGGAAAGAGCCTATGTACACAAGTGAGAGTGGCAGTAGATAACTTACAGGCGAGCCTCTGGGTCCAGGATCTCCAGGTTTTCCTCTCCGCCCCTTAGGAAAGCGTAGGGGGAAAAAAAGTGGACCAAGATGAGTCAATATGCAATAACAGGTGTGGCTGGGCATGCATGCTGCCAGCAATTAAGGCTAGACAGTAACTCCTGTCACAGTCTCTAATTTGCTTTTAATTAACAACAAGAAAACTGCTTAATTGCTGCACCCTGTGTGGCCTGCTACTCTTTGTTCCCTCCTTTGGTTTACTGTCTCCTTTCCAGCTGTGCAAGTCCCTCAGTGCATCAATCAACCCGAGGAGTGAAAACAGCAGCAAACAGGACAAGCCAGCCAGCGCTGTCCAGTGTTGCAAAACAAAGTCAGAACAAAGCCACATTTTGAACCATTTTGTTCTGAGTTGTTCTTCACATTCTCTGAATAACAAAACCCCCCAGCTCTCTCAGAATCTGCGAGTCTTGGAAAAAACTGAAATGTAAATGAGATGTATTCCTGAATCTGAACCAAACCAAAGTTGGTTTAATTTACATCAAGAGGGTTTATGTACTAGTGAGAAAAGAGGATAAAGCTCTGTGGGATAGAACTGCAGATATCCACTGGCAGAGCATCGGTGGCTCTGTATTGAGGATTGCCTGAAACGAGCGCACGTGCACACAAAACCGATGTAAAATCGACTTATTTAAGAGATGACAATACTCTGGCGGCAATCAATGGTAGAAGTGTGAGACAATGCAGAGATCTGTAATCAGGCTAAACACGATTACATCTTTCTAATTTGAGTGTCATCATCTGACACAGTGCTGCTATGTTAATAATATCGCAGTTCTCTTCTACTGTATGTGTCAGTACGGGCGACGCAAAAACACTGCTCTCCTCTTCCGAGTTAGCAGCTGGGTAGATCTGTGGAGAGGAAAGGCTCAGTGGCTGCTGAAAGAAAAGTTCGGAATCACAAAGCAACGCCCCCGACGCTTCCCTCTGACATTTCATGTGTGCGCACTTTGATTAACTGGGTCGAATTTGACATGTACGTTTGCCTGCAACAAAGACAGAGGAAGAAACTTCACTGAGAGCTATTGCTTTTAATCATCTGCGTGTGCACTAATGCTCCTACTCTGTGTGTGTGCTTCTCTCTCAGATTACAGCATTATGAAAAGGGGAGAAGACAAAGTGTAGTACAGTAAATATTAAACTTAATAATGGCACAGTAGAACCGATGTGCTTTCCTCTGTTCGTGCTGTTTGATGTACCAACAAAGCTCTGGCCAGCATCTTTTGATCATCAGTGTTAATGCATTTCTGAGGCTACTGTACGTGTGCTTTAATGTGAACGTGAACGAGGGCTACATAGAGAAGAGGTGGAAAGTTGAATTGCCTTGATGGGAAGAAACAGACTCTTTAAACCTTAAAATCCCTTCCTTCAAATGACTGAGATTATATATTATGTTGGAATAACCTCTTTGAAATGTAATTGAGGCTGGTTTCCTTTGTGGCAGAGTGGCAGCCGAACCATTCGGAAAGGGCTCACGCTTTAAGATTCAAAACTGACTTGTATAATAGACTTCTATGTGTCACATTACAGCATTTCTGTGAGGGTGGATGGCGCTCATTTTTCACACTGATAATTCATCGGCTGACACCGCATCGCTGCTACGACTGCAAAGAAGATCAGGCTGTTTGTTCTAGCCCTCTGTCCCCGCTGCTGCCCTTTCCCCTCTGAACATAACAACAAAAGCAGATTACACATATAAGTAATTTAGGTAATGAATATTTCATACGCTATTATTTCAAGTAGGTCATGAATTGTGCAGTTTTCCAAACTATTTCTCCACATTTGCCCTTAAATCCCTTTAAACTCCAAAGTACGTACTAATTTTATGCCCATGTATTTGCATATGTTCATCAAAATAAATAGTGGAGCTCTGTATCTGAGGTTAACAACATATTACCAGCAAATTTCGATCAAAAAAAAGATGCCAGTAGAAGATTGCAGGAAGATCAGATCAGGTTGCAACCAGCTAAATATGTCTCCCTCACCCAACCTTTTCCCTGTGTATAAATAGACAATTTATAGTCACAGGTGTTTATACGGTAATAATGACTGAAGAATGGCAGCGAGTGTGAGCATAAGGGAAAGTTTATAAGATGGTAGATGACCTGCTATGACGCATGGAGACAGCTCTACTAACAAAAAGTCAGGAGGCAGAGGTGGAGGTGACAGAGTTGAAGACGTTCAGATTTTCATCTGCAGTGACCAGAATGGACAGGATTAGAAATGAGTGCATCAGAGGGACAGCTCAGGTTCAAGAAAAAGGTTGGAGGAAAAGGTAGAGAGGCGAGGTTGAGACGGGTTAGACATGATAGAGGAGAGAGTCAGAGGACATTGAATATGGAGGTGCCAGGCAGAAGAAAGGAAGACCTCAGAGAAGGTTGATGGATGTAGTGAAGGAGGACCCTAGAGACAGGATGAGATTTAAGCAGATGATCCACTGTAGCAACCTCTTAATGGAGCAGGTATTAGAAGAAGAAGAAGTAAAAGAAGAAGTAGAACAAGAAGACGAAGTAGAAGAAGAAGAAGAAGTAGTAGAAGAAGAGTATACACTAATAGAAGCCCGACTGATTAAGCAAAAACCTCACATCATAGTTGAAGACAGGTCAATATCACTTAAAAGAGATGGTATTGGTAGCAATATGGATGATCTACTGGTGTATACTTAATAACTATAAATGCAATATCCCCCCTTGCACAGAGCAGAGGAGTGCCCCATAAAATACTTTTACAGTGTACCTGTTTTTTGTGTGTACATGCTGCAAGACCTGAGAGCAATCACAGCTCTTAGAATTCAGTCTTTTTGGATCTTTTGAGCTCCTTTCTCTGGGAAAGAGCACAAAAGAAATCTTTGTGTGCAGTAAATGAACCATGAGATGCCCAGATGGCCTTCAGCTGACATTTAAAAACAAACATGTAAGCAAAGGTAAAGTGGCAGTTATTTGGATGACAGCTCTTAACATTCGTTGGTGGTGTCAAATTGAAAAAACAAAAAAACAAAGAAAGGAGAGAAATGCTAAAGGTGTGTACTTCTTGTTTACCCTGAGGAAGTGTCCTGAAGGGCCTACTGTGCCTTTGAAACTCCTGAATACTGACGTTATTTTATACACAATACAATAAATTATACTGTCCTCTGGATTGTATTGTGCGACCCTAGTTTAGTAAAAGGCAGACATCTAATTTAGCTATGTAAAGATAAACTCAGGCCAGGATTTCTATTTTAGAACTACATGTCGCATTTCTTCTTTTATAGTAATTTCATATTTCTAAACACCTTCAGATAATCTTTTTCACGACAAAGTGATCCATTAAAACGACTACATCAGGCGACCTTGGGACTCAACTGATACTTTTCTGTCCAGAGGACCTCTGGTTAGTAAATCTGTGCACAGTGACAAGAAATAATTAGTGAGGAGCACAGCTGTCATCACCGTTTGCACTCAATTGACTCCAAACTGAAACACCTGCCAGTGACACAGCACTAGAACTACCTCCAAGCAGGCATGCTTTTATTACGACACAACAACCACAGAGAGTTTATAATTCTTTTTGCAGGAGTAGATTTTTAACAATGTCACCACCTATTTTTATCTTAATTGGTCAAAAAGATATTATAGAACACATTCAAGTGTTGTTTAACAGTCTAACAAAAACTCTGGATTCACAATTAAAGCACATTTACTTTAGTCAAACTTTCCTAAAGGTTTCTCATGCTAAGAAGCTAACCTGACTCTACAACCACCAGCTTTGTTTTAACCTAAGTGTAAAATTTTTTTCTAATTTTACATTTGAAGCTAAAAAAAAATAACTTTTTTTTTAGTTCAGTTCAACTAGAAAGCAATATGAAGATTGCTTTGAACTGTGCATGATCATTTCCCACTTTTGTATAAAGTTTGCAACTTTATAAAGTTCTCTTATTGTTTTAGACTCAAATTAGGAGGAGAAAGGCCAAAAGTGGAGAAAAAAAGAATGAAAGAGATAAGGAAAAAAGCAAAGCTGTGACACCAAAATCCAACAAAAAGCATTTTCACGAAACACCACCTGTACGCCAGTACCATATTAAACAATGCAAACACAATAATTATAAATTCGACAGAGTGACAAGCGTGCAAGAACAGCCAGCAGTGTCTTTGAATCTTTTCTTTCAGCTAAGCCAACCTTAACTTTCTCATTTCCTTTTGTGCTTCTCCATTCCTAATTTATCTCTCCCTTTGTGTACATCATAATTCTATGACTCCCATCTCATCCCTCTCTCCCACTTTTCTTGTCAGCTCTCCTTCCTTTCCTGTCTCCTGTCACTCGCCCCTTTTCTCCCTCATCCAACTTCCAGCGCCTGTCGGATCACCCTGGCAATCTCTGTTGCTATGCAACGCTCAGTGTCCTATAAATTTGACAACATCCTACTGCTTGATTATTATTTGAGCGCTGCAGTGTGAAGCCCTCCTTCAGGTCATTGCAGTAGATTAGAGGGAGGGAGAGACAGAGGAAGGCAAGGAAGGAAATGAGGGATGAGAGGAAGGGAAGGAGGTGGAGGAAGATGAAGGGATGTGGAAGAGAGGAAAGGAGAAGAGAGGAGGGGGAGTCAAAGATGAGTTAGCTTTTTGAGTTAATGAAAGACAGGCTGGCACGACCAAACACATATTCACATGTACTATTTATCTGCCCCACTCTAAAAACCTGCAAACCATAAGTGTGAAAAGCAGACCGGATTAACTACTAATTCAATAGCTAAAGCTGGAGTGGGCACACATTTGAGCTGAAAAGAGGAGACCTCAGTAGACTGACAGCATATTTTGAACTCCCGGCTTAATCCACATGGATCCGAGCGTTGACTTGCTTCAAGTCTGCTATGAGTTGTAAAGTGTAAAAGCAAAGCACAGACATGGGGCCTGGCTCAGTCCTGCAATACAAGCCCCAATCTGAGAGCAAAGTCAACAGTGACAGTGACACACAGCAGAGACACTCCTTTTTGATGACTCCATAATCCTTATCCCAAATGT